TCTAAATTACTATAAACTTCTTCCAGAAAATCAATCTGGCTTTCGACCCCAACATAGTTGTGCGTCTGCTCTATTGCATGTAACAGATGACTTATTATCTGCACTCGATAAGGGTAATCTAGCAGTACTTGTACTGCTAGATTATTCCAAAGCATTTGATCGTATTAACCACCAATTGCTCTTAGCTATACTCCATTTTAACGGATTCACCAACAGTGCATGTGCTATGCTTAAAAACTATCTGGATAATCGTATTCAATTTGTTAAATATGATGGAAAACTCTCAGCCCCACTAAATATTACTGAAGGAGTACCTCAAGGCTCAATATTGGGTCCATTACTATTTACCATCTATACATCTAATTTATCTTCATTCTTATCGAACTGTGTAGCACACTACTATGCAGATGATACTCAAATATATCACTCATTCACTAGTGCAGAGACTCTCGAAGCATGTGAAATTATTAATGATGATCTTGACTCACTGGCACGAGCATCTACTGAACATTGCTTAACTATAAATCCTTCCAAATCCAAAATGTTATTATTTGGTAATAAAAATAAAAGAAATCAATTCAAAGAATATCTTAACCTCTCAATTCAGTCGGAACCAATAGAACTGGTAGAATCTGCTAGAAATTTGGGACTCACTGTAGATTCAGATTTAAGGTTCACAGATCATGTAACAACGTGCATTAGAAGAGCATATGGCAATTTGAGATTACTCTATAATTTTTCACGAATCCTAGACGCAAAAACGAAGAAGATCTTGTGCGATTCCTTGGTGTTGAGCCATTTCAACTTTTCTAACATTGTATATTACCCATGTTTAACCGTGCATGATCAAAATCGTATTCAATATGTCCAGAACTCTTGTGCCAGATATATTTATGGAATCCGTAAGCGTAGCTCTATTTCACACAAAATAAGTGAATCCAATTGGCTGACCATGCGTCAAAGATGGTTTCTACATACGTGTTGTTACTATCATGAGCTTATTCTACAAAAAACTCCAGAATATTTACATAAAAAAATTACATTTCGACAAGATATACACTCATTAACAACGAGGTATCGATTTCACATATCACCCCCAAAACACAGCACTGCTATATTCGAACGTTCCTTTTCATATAATGTAGCCAAAATGTATAATGCTCTCCCAGATTCGCTGAAGGCTTTGAATATCGGCAAATTCAAATCCATACTGAGAAAATATATAAAAGAAGGTACTATTTCAGTATAGGTAACTCAAAATATATCGCACCATGGTCACAACTACGACAAAACTAATAATTCCTCTTGTGTCGTCGCCTTCCAAATTTCACCCGTTTCACCCTTTCACTCTCTACTTGAATTTCACGATTGTTAATTTTATGTAAATATTTTTTTCCTTCTTTTCATGTTGAATGCATGATGATGGACTATTCACATATTCAAACCTCATGTTGGGCATTTTTTTTTCTTTTATAATTATTCAGTGCTTGATGCTGAATGTCTAATCTTATGTTTGATACTTATAATTGATATATGGTATTTAATGTTTCAAGTTTAATATATAATACTTAGTAATTGTTACTCAAAGTTTGATATTGATATTTTTTGTGTTTGATATTTAATTTTTACTAAGTAATTTATTTGGTTATGTAAACTGAGCATACGTTCTGATTATTTATTGCACTTTCAAACCTCATGTGGCATAACTTAATTTGTTTTTTTTTTTTTTTTTATCATCAATATTTGATGTTTAATGTATATTTTGTGTTTGATACTTGATAATTGATGATTGATATATGGTATTTAATGTTTGAAGTTTAATATCTAATGCTTAGTATTCGATACTCAATGTTCGATATTGATATTTTGTGTTTGATACTTAAATTTTACTAAGTATTTATTGGCTATGTAAACTGAGCATACGTTCTGATTATTTTTGTAGGGTTGAATGGAAGAGCAGTCTCTGACATCTACATGATGTGCAGCGGCTGAATTCCGCCTTTTTGTATCGTAATGATATAAATAAAGACAATTTATTATTATTATTATTATTATTATTAAATTCAACACATAATTGGTAGGCAATAATCTCTACAATTTATGCAGTGTTACACAATGATGAACTATTATAATAATTTCTGAATTCTTCACCTGTTAATTTTTATTATAATATAATAATGAATAAATTATTGATTTGAAATATTTGTCATCAAGCTGCATGAGAATCATTAAAATTATGTAAAAAAATAATACTGGATCAAATAACCCATCAAAAGACCCCTCTTTTCATTTGAAATTTATTTGTTGGTAGTGTCCATATGTACAAAGGGACCCATTTGAAAGCGATCCACCCTCATAAATTTTGTATTTATGGAGCGATTTTCACGAATTTTTTTTTAATTGAGAGGGAGAAGAAGTGTATTTTTGAGCTAATCCGTCCACTTCTTTCAAAAACCAAGGCCTACATTCAGAGACTGAAAAATCCAGAATCCATATCAGCAATTTTTTTAGAAAAAAATCTGCGTACACCACTGAAATCGGCGTCCTCTCAAATAGATCTCTACCAAGTTTCATGCAAAAATATTCAACATGATCGTTTCTACAGCGTGTCTCATTTAAGCTATTAGTCGTGCGATTCGAACCAAATTTGGACCAGTATGAATAACCATCAATATGATCAGTTTTTAGAAGACGAACATCATTTTGGACAGTGCCGTGTTTTTTATTGAAATAAAAAGGGGTCGATTTTTATGAAATCATTAGGAATGGATTTACAAGAAAACTAACCTCATTTTTGATATTATTATATAATTGTTCCTCATGCTTTCGAACCTCCATAGGCAAAAAATCACCTCTTTCCAAATTAATAGGATTGGCTCAACTTTTTCATTTTCAGCCTCGGCGCAAAAATAGTGAATTTAAATCAACTGCAAATTTTGGAACGTTCAATAGGTAGGTAGGTAGGAAATCGTGATTTGAATGAAGGAAACAAGAAATACTATTTTATGTTGAACTCACCGTTTCCTAGTAAATAATAATTGTTATGTTCGCAAAAATGCTCTTCAGATGTGCCTGTTTTTTTTTTAAACCCTCCATAGGAATAATATGAAAATTTACATATGGGGGTTTGAAACCACGAAGAACAATATTGTGAGGTCAGTTTTCCTGTAAGAAGAATCCTAATATGATTTCATAAAAAATTTACCACTTTTTATTTTAATAAAAATGCACGGCACTGTCCAAATAGATGTTTGTCTTTTAAAAACTGAACATATTGATGATTATTCATACCAATACAAATTTGGTAAAGATTGCACGACTGATAGCTGAGATATAGAGGGGGGGGCCGTTTGAAATGAGACACGCTGTAGAATCGTTAATGTTGAATATTTTTCAATGAAAATTGGTACATATCTATGTCGCCGATTCCAGTGGTGTACGTAGATTTTTTCTAAAAAAATCGCTAATATGGATTCTGGATTTTTCAGCCTCTGAATGTGATCTAGTAGGCCTTTGTTCTTTGAAAAAGTGAACGCCGCTTAGCTCCAGAATACACCATTCCTCCCTCTACATTGAAAAAAAATCGTTGAAATCGCTCCTTGAATAATAAAATTATGAGGGTGGCACGCTTTCAAATGGGTAACTCTGTATATAAAAAGAGGCGCAAAAATTGGGGAACGACCCTTTCTAGCACGCCACTGGATGATCTTAAAATTTGAGAATAAGGAAAAAACAATTCTGTGGCAAATTGGAAGAAATATAAATCGAGTTATTGACGACTTATTGCAAAAAAAAAAAAATATTCAACTACAATTTTCTCCATAATAAGTATGCATATGCACCAACTCGTTGGAGCACGAATTTCGAAACACCTGTTATGTACAGAGTGTGCACGTATATTTTGAAACCTTCCATGCGGTTTTTCCCAAACTGTCGATTCTGTGATCAACAAAGATGATTAGACAACACACATATGGGAAAACTCTTCCATAATGCCCAATGAATGTGACAGTAAAGTAATCAAGCAGTCGTTGACATTACCCAAAAAACACATTCGTGATGCCTAATTGGGCATTATTGGATAATTTTGCCACATCCACACATGCCATTGAACCTGATATCGTATTGGTTCTTTTCTCCAATGTGTGATGTTCATTTAGAGTTTTCAAATAAAAGATTTGACGGTTTGGGAAAACCTCTTCAATTTTTACATTCTAAGTTTTTTGATATCTACGATATTGAACTCAACAGGAAGGTTCAAACATATTCATGTACATCTTGTACAGGGTGTCTCCTTATATTTTGACCCCTACCTACAGCTTCAACTATACGAGGTGGAAAACTACTTTAAATATGAAAGTGGTAGGCTATCTTTTGGCACTTCTCAAACAAAACGAATGGCAAAATGAAAAAAAAAGTCCAAATCCGTTTTTTTTTAATGAAACACCCTGTATATTTTCATTTCTAGTGAAAGATATTTTTCTTCTATTCATATGTATATAGTTTGCTAGTGTTCCCATGAGCCGTTTTTCTTTTGTTCAACTTTTACAATATTGAATCAAAATTGCCAATAACTTTTAGATGGCCGTGGACACAACAGAATACCATGGAAACAAAACAGGCCTTCTTTGATATCTCTGTCGGGTTTGACAATTGAAATTGGTCATCTCGTAGTGGAAAAATATGAAGTAGTATAAGATTGTATTATGAAAATATTGCAAAAATATCTGAAGTGCAGCAAGAAATTAGTCAAAAACGGGTCACTTCTTGTGTAAAAAAAATATTAATATGATTGCATAATAAATTGACCCCTCTTCATTTCAATAAAAACGCACAGCACTGTCCACAATGATGTTTATCTCTGAAAAACTGAACATATATATACTGGTATGAAAGGTATAACTAATAACTATATATTTGTGTATATTCGTGAACAGAAAAAAAAAATATCACACTAGAGTTGAAAATATAAAGGGTGCTCCATTGAAAAAACTGATTTGGGCTCTTTTTCTACATTTTGCGATTCGCGTTTGTTTGTTTACAGAGTGCCAAAATATAGTCCGTATGAAATCCTACAGCTCATATATAGTTGAAGCTGTAGGGGTGGTGGTCAGAATATAAGGAGAAACCCTGTACATCTAAAAGAAATGCTTAGCATTTCCAATATGTTCAACTGAACTCCTTCAATAATTACTCACAACCATAATAAAATCTTATTGATGAGCTGAACCTTCCTTTGGAAAAAAAGAAGAATATTATATCGTCCACGATTCGTAGGACGCAGTCCAATAATTAACAGCCGTCCAAGGAGGGAACTGATCGACTAGTCGTTTCAGATATTTGGAGGCCTTTCCGGGACCGAAAAGATAATGTGAAGTAACAGCCAGGTCCATTATGGGGCCACTGTGGTTGGGTGGAATCTATAAGGAATTCGTTTCTTGATGAATTTGTCGCGCAGCTTTAGAGATTTTGGACTAGGAATCACAAGAAACTTCCGTGAAAGTGCATACAGTCCTTGATTATGTACAGTGCATCCCATTTTGGGTGAGACAGCTAGGTTTCTGGCTTGTTATTTAAGATAGAGCCTTGCGGTTTTCACGTTCCTGTCCTACTTTTTTGTGAAACTCAAGATGGCCTAGTCAGATTTTGCACAACTGTTTCCCTTTATGAGATACAGGGCGATTTTGGAAACTTATACTTTTCGGGCCCCTCCTTTATCTCCGAAGTTATTAGAAATAATGCTGAGCTGAAAACTACGTCTGATACAGAATTCCGCGTAGAATCCAGTGACGCACTCACTTTTTTTTTCGGGGTATGGTTTTGAATATACGACACAAACCTATATTTTTTTCAATGGAACACCCTGTATTTTATCACTTCATTGAATTCGTTATTTTTTTCCCTTCAAAATGATGTATGATACTATATAGGTAGGATGTTCAGAAATGCTAAAAAAACACTAAAACATCACATAATGATGATTTCTTGTTAGTGGGCCATGGATTTCCCATATAAAAGAAGAATCAATTGGATAATTTTTATTTGAATTTTTTTATAGGAGAGTAAGCAAATAAAGATAATACACTCATCACTAACACGAAAAACAAAACGTTGGTACCTACCTAATAGCAACAAATAAAAAATACAAATTCATAATACAAATTAGATACAGAAATATATATAAAATATTTTTCATGAACAAATTTTCAACATTACATAATATCTTACTGATTGAACTGTTCGAATTGCTGTCCATTTTCCCTAATACATAATTGACAAACCTTTTCAATACGCCTGAGTGCATTTAATATTATAAAAGGGCGCCTTTGTAAATCTCGGAAAGCTGCCTCTGTTGATGCACGTTCTTCGGGACTGTTGTGTCTATTACTGTATATTTCATTTTTCAAATAGCCCCACAAGAAAAAGTCTAATATAGACAAATCAGGTGACCTTGGAGGCCACCTGATGGGTCCATGCGTTCCAATCCAACAACCCTGAAAATTATTTTCTAAAAACCGCCCGATCAATCTTGAATTGTGGGCAGGGGCGCCGTCCTGTTGAAAATGTATGGAATTAAGGAAGGCGAGGGGAACATCTTCCAGTAGTTCCGGTAACACGTCTTCTAGAATTGTCAAGTACCTATTTGAGGTAAGGGATCCTTCAAAAATGCGGTATATGATTTTTGTCCCCAATATGAAACATGTCACATTGAAACCAAATCGACCCTGTTGTTGTCGTTCAAAAATTAATTGCTGGTTTTCATCATACCAATGCCTTGTATTTTGCCTGTTAAATATACCAGCACTGCTTATATGTGATTCGTCTGACCAAATAACCTTTTTTGCAAAATCAATGTCTTTCTGAGCATGGTTCAAAAACCAATTGCAGAAATTCAAACGTCTTGCTGCATCACCAGGATATAAGTGTTGGACAATATTGACTTTGTAGGGTTTTAACTTATACTTTTTTAAAATTCTGTGTACCCGTGATCTGGAAATGCCAGTTTCATTTTCTAATTTTGCACAAGAAGTCTGATGATAGGCATGAAAGCTAGCTAACACATTTATTTCATCTACTTCTCGATTCTCTCTATTATATACCTTGGGTCGAGGTTTAGAATATGCACCATAATTCTGTAAATTATTCTTTAGTCTGAATATAGTTGCTCGACTAGGTTGATACCTCTCTGGATATCTGAAAGTTTTCAAATCATGATGTAGGGAAATGTCTTGTGAAATTCTCGACGTCATACCTGTTCAAATAGAGTTCCAAAGCTTCGCCAACGTTTTCATTACATTGATTGAAACATTGTATAATGTCATATTTTTCATTGTTTTGAAAAACCAAATCTCTTCCAGCCATTATCAGTTCTCAATTAACAAATTCACAAACAATTATTTCTACAATATTCAATATTCCTTCAAACCCAAACACGATGATACACAATAATAATTCATAGCGATGACAGCTAGATCAAATTTGTTTTTTTTCTCTCTTCAATGCTCACTGGATAAAACAATGCTCCCAAATGCATAGTAGCCAGAATAACAACAAGGATGTTCGTATCATCCATGACCTACTACTGTTGATAATCAAAAGTAATATCCCTTTTATTGAAAAATCATCATTATGTGATGTTTTAGTGTTTTTTTAGCATTTCTGAACATCCTACCTATATTTTGTTCTAAATTTGTAAATTTGTACCTATATAGTATCATACATCATTTTGAAGGGAAAAAATAACGAATTCAATGAAGTGATAAAATACAGGGTGTTCCATTGAAAAAAATATAGGTTTGTGTCGTATATTCAAAACCATACCCCGAAAAAAAAAGTGAGTGCGTCACTGGATTCTACGCGGAATTCTGTATCAGACGTAGTTTTCAGCTCAGCATTATTTCTGATAACTTCGGAGATAAAGGAGGGGCCCGAAAAGTATAAGTTTCCAAAATCGCCCTGTATCTCATAAAGGGAAACAGTTGTGCAAAATCTGACTAGGCCATCTTGAGTTTCACAAAAAAGTAGGACAGGAACGTGAAAACCGCAAGGCTCTATCTTAAATAACAAGCCAGAAACCTAGCTGTCTCACCCAAAATGGGATGCACTGTACAATAAACAACATGAACCATCTTTATGAAAGCAATGAAACCAAAAATCCTATTTAGTAGAGGGCGGTGTCTACTTTTTGTTGAGTAGCGAAGGGTAGAGATCGGTAATGCACAGGGGCAGCGAGTACATTGGGGCATCGGAGCCAATGCACCCATGTAAGAAAAATTTTAATATGCACCTCGGCGAAAAACTATCTATTGTCTCGCCTGATTGCTAGCCTCGGCTAAGGCCTCGGCTATCAATTTGCAGACTCGACTATAATAGATAGTCTTTCGTCCTTGGCACATAAATAACTATTCTGGCGTTATTTGTTGCAGAATAACAAAATTGAGAGCACATTTACATTGCCACCTTTTCCTTGCTATACAATGTCATTTTAAGACTCACCATGCTATTATTATTAATGAAAATCCAATAAAGCGCCCATAAAAAAATGAAGTTGATGATGATGGTGGCGTAAAGACGAAACGTAGGATAGTGAATCTGATATCATCGTATAGCAAAAAAAAGTGTCAATGCAAATGTGCTATTAATTTCAATATTCTTCAACAGATAACACTGGAAAAAAATAAAATTGAATTACCAATATTTCTGTTTTTTCGTATATTTCCGGAAATACTCGGAATTCAAAAACATTCTCGAATTTAGTATCTTCAGTCACATAAATGCGCAACTTTGCCTTAATGCAACCATCTTTGTATCTCCTATAGTTTCCGAGATCCCAATGGTGGCTCTCGAATTTGAATTCAAATTCATTTATTTGATCATGTTATGTATATACAAATACATTTATGACAGGTCACATGGTAGTATAAATATTTTAAGTAAAATAGATATACAAATGAGTACAATAAGAGAAGAACATATATAGAAAAAATATGATATAGACAATAATTCCTATGCTAATCATTACAGAACAACATATTGAAAAAAATCAGTTCACAATTTCATCAGTTGATTAGAGCTTACTAGAATAAGAGAACGGCTGGATATAGAATTATTTTATTTCATTCACGATTCAGTGAGTATATAATGTAAACCCTGTTTCATGAAGTTAGTATATTCCTCAAGGAAGTAGAAGGCATTTTACCCAGTATACTCAAACTTTGAATTCTATAAGCTGCCAAAGCTATTCAAAGACTCACCTTGAAATCCATAGAGAATAGTAAAGGAACAGGTTCCAACCCATATGCGTAATATATGAAATACGTCTCTCTGCCGAGCCACCGTGGACCAGCCAACGGTTCTTCCGTTTTCAAACTCCAATCATCTAAGCTCACTCCTTGCACAGGAGATATCATCACCCCTAAATGGGTAGGACCTGTACAAACGAGAAAAAAATTGAAATAACAAAAGTTCATATCACTCAAAAACGAAACTGAATTTTTTTCCAGTTTTTAAACAATGTATAATTTTTGGATTCTCGTATATAATACAAGTGTATTGATGATTATCGAAATACAAATCCCTTTGATTTTGAGAAACAAATTATGTTGTTTGGTTTCCTTAAGGAACATAATTTTCAATAATTTTCTTTCCTCTTTCTCTCTTTCCCATCATCTAAGTTTTTAGTTGTATACAACATATTCATAATCATATTATCTTGTATCATGTTTATCATAATGTGTTTCAGTAGTCTAGTATCTTTGTATTTTAGTCTAATAGCAGATAGTTTCTTTTTAATTACTTTCAGATGTATCATCTATGATAATAGTATAATTATAAGATTATTTACTGTTCATGGCGTGGTGAAAGATCAACCCAGTTGAACCCCGACCAATTTACCCTTTATTGCTTAATATTGTAAATTATTGAATTTGTATGATTCATTATTATGGGTGAATAAATAAACCATAAACCATAATTTGTTTCGAAAAAGAGGAGAAATTTTCCATCATCATCCATGAAACGAGTTGTATTTATTAAGATTATTTCACTTATTATTTCATGGATGAAACAATAATTTAATTTAGTATATTGCAAGATTTTTAGTCTTAGTCTTCATCATAATCATTAAATCATGACCCTGAAAGTTACAAACTTTCAATTTTTATGCTTATGATTGAGACCACATAAGAAATGCGCATGTGTAGACCTGTCAACATATTTGACAATCACAAATGACTTTTGATTTTGTGTTTGTCACCCAAAAATCAGTGCCATTCTGTGCTGTGTCAATAATTGATCACATCATTCTGATAATTTGATTACATTTGATCAAAACAAATATCAAAAAAGCATGAGCCTGGAAGAAAGAACCCTAATAGATTTGGTGGAAAAATTTCCCCATCGTTGGGACAAGAAAGACTCAAAATACAAAGATAAAATTGCAATAGAGAATTCCTGGAAATCAATGTCACAAATCATGGCATTGACTGGTTAATAGATTACATGTTATCTCTGGTGTGTAGAATTTGTTTTTGTACCTATTTACTGACGGATCTCTTGACATTGTCAATTATCATATCATAATTCTTAAGCCTAAAGACTGTGATGCATAATGGTCCAAATATGATGAGTTGATATTCTATTCACCTAGGTAAGATTATGATTAAAACAATGACTAAGACAATGATGCATAAATATAGGCCCTAAGTGTAAACAGTATATTGTAACGCCTGCTCGCTAGTCTATCAGTTTGCATGTTCGACTAAAACATACAGTTTTTCGTCCTTGGTGCATAAATAACTATTATTTCCATCAACTCACCTGCAACCTCGATGGTCACCCGCTCTCCTCCCTCGATCCCAGTCCGATTCACCACCCTCATCGTCACCGGCTTGAGCAGAACGGGCGGCGGGCCCGGCACCCAGTGCGTCTTCCAAATCATCGTGAGCACCGGCACGAGGTACGGCAACCCGCAATACAGGTACCGGTCGCAGTCGGTCGTGACCAGCTCAGCGTTGAGCATTTCGGGCACGTGACGGTCGACCGTGTGCGGACTGTTGATGTCCATGTCGGCTATCCAGTAGCCGGTCGACTGGTTGGTGATGGCGCCCGAGGCGTCGTGGAATGTTCGGTGGGTGTGCTGAAATAGTAACATCATCATCTTTATTATTCCCAAGAAACAATTAACAAATGTTTATAACAGAACCAGTAGCCGGTCGATTGGTGTTGATGGCGCCCGAGGCGTCGTGGAATGTTCGGTGGGTGTGCTGAAATCAATACCATCATCATCTTTAATAATCCCAAGAAACAATCTACGAATATGTTTATAACAGGGAACAGAAAATAATGCATTGCATGTGTGCGGACTGTTGATATCCATGTCGGCTATTCAGTAGCCGGTCAATTGGTTGTTACTGGCACCCGAGACATTGTGGAATGTTCGGTGGGTGGCTACAATAAACCACCCAAACTGGAGTGAAATAGCAAAAATCTTCAATACTCTCAAATTCACTAACCGAAACCTTCAAACGCAAAGCAAAACAATGAATAACTGAAACTAGTGTCACTTGATGCAAACTGACGTATTTGTCATCTAACAGAGTACGGACAGATCATAGCTCCTTTCTCTTTTAATCATCTAGTCACTTTGGTTTCCTGTATTGGCGTCCCTGACATGACATTGCTGTCACGTCAAATTCATAGGCGTCAAAAGAGATCTTACAAAATTCTAATTTCATACTTTATCTTGATACATTATTCAATTCTGTTTTGGAAGGATAGTAAAATATGCTGCGTTAGGCTGTATCAATCAGTTGGCAAATTTGAATTTGTCAGCTTTCCATCAAATGCAAATGAACTTAGAACATGGAAAGTGAAGTGACCGAATGGGGAAAATTGGTAAATACATCAGCAAAATATTCGAGGTAAAACCAATACGAAATCACATATTATACTTTCTCATTGTGCCTATAATCATCCACTCCACGAGTTTTTGAATGCATTTTAGTAGAAACAGTTTTGATTGAAACGGAGGATTAAAAGAAGAGGTATATGCCCTACCATTTAAAAAATTATACCTACATTCAGGAAATATCAAGTTTTCGTGAAAAACTGCAAAAATGATTCCCAACATGAATATATACAGCACACATGACATATGAGTACATTAGTTTGAATACCTACATAACATTTTTCACCATTTCTCAACCATAAGGCTTATTCTGAAATCAAAATTGATGTATTGATAGGTACTGCCTAAGAACAGTCCCATTTAGTGAAACGTATTGAACTTTCAGAAAAATTTGCTCACTGCCTCACAAAAACTCGAAAATTATCATCATCATTTGGATAAAATATGTAGAGTTGAATGAGAAATTATACGTGTAAATTACGTATGATACGCCAATGTTCTCAATATAACCTAAAAAACAACAAATGTCAGAAATCTAGTGTTTATTCCCAGAAATAAATAAAGATGGAACTATATAACTGTTTCACAAACACTTTAGAGTGAGAGGAGACGAGGATCTGTCCGTACCCTGTTGACAAATGTGTCAATTTACATCAAGGGACCCTAACTGAAACTAATCCGGCCAGGTCTCAAGTTTACGTCAGACAAAATGACAGAGGCACATTCTTACACAGTTGCCAGATGAACTAGTAAGAAATTAGAAGTTCGGTGAGTCTATGAATTTTGTCGCGAAAATATCGTATGATGGTAGTTTGTGGAGTCCTTCCTGCCAAACACGGTCGAATGCTTTCGATATGTCCAACGCGACAGCTAGAGATTCCCCGTGTTTTTCTAATGAAGCTTGCCATAAATGGGTGACGTAGGCAAGTAGATCTCCAGTAGATCTTCGGTGGCGAAAGCCGTATTGTCTATCATTGATGAACCCTGAGCTCTCCAGATATTTGATAAGCTCAATATTGCATTGTAGATTGTAGTTGGGTCGTATAGGCTGAGAGACCTCTCGATCACTGCGACCTAGAAGATCTATTGTGATTACCCCTATCTAGTTTTGGTCCTCTAACCCTAGACTTCTGATGAAGCCTACGATTTTCCTGACGGTTGACTTTTCCACTTCAGCAGGGGTGAGATAGACCTGTTCTAGGTGGTTCAGCCTTTGGCGGACTAATACTTCACATGAGCAAAGTATGTGTTCCGCGGTTTCGGTCGCATTGTTACAAAAGCAGCAAGTGTCAGTCTCCGCCAGACCCATCTTTTTGAGGTGGTACCTCAGAGGGCCGTGTCCTGTGAGAAAGCCTGTGATAAGCTTCAGCTCTGGTTTGCTGAGGCTGAGTAGCTCTTTGGCTCGGTTCTGCGAATGGTTGATGAACCTTTTCGCTTGTCGTTGACCTGGAGTTGCTCTCCAGTAGGACTTTTCAATTTCTTCCCATTTCCCATTTCCATTTCCCGAGTTCTCCCTTTAGGTGACATTTGCTTATCCCACAAAAAGGCTCAGGACCAAAAAGTGCAGATGCTGCACCTTTTTTTGCAAGGCGATCAGCTGCCTCATTTCCTTTGATTCCTTCATGCCCTGGAACCCACATAAGTGTGACTTTGTTGTCCTTTCCCAGTTGCATGAGTGTTTCAAAGCAGTCCCATGTAATCTCAATATTGCATTACCTTTCTAGGTCTTCGAGTTATGTGAAAAACACTCACCGCTATCATGAACCGCTGTGGGGCCAACGCTCCCGCCTCCCCCGAATAAGGAAATCCCAGCGGCGTCAGTATCAGCACGGCCAGGGACAGCAAAAACAAGCCGACCAGCAGGCTGAACAGCCGTTCGGTGCCGCGCACGAGCAGAATCAGCGGCGCGACGAAGCTGAACAGCATGCCGAACATGCAGCTGACCATCACGGCGATGAGGTATTCGGCGTGGCTGCCTGAACCGGCGCGACCCATGATGGGAATGAAAAGGTAGAGGGCGCCTATCATCAGGTAGAAGCATTGCACGAACGGCAGGCCGACCATTGATATGTGGAGGAGGATCCATTTGGAATCTGGAAATGTTCAATGCGTGATTTCAATGAGGTAAAACACTTTCAGAATCACCAGTTGGCGTTACTAAAACGTAAGGTCAATGTCAAAGTCGAGGTTAAAGTCATGAATCCCAAAATTTTGACGGATAGCCCTAAATGCTGTGGCCTGTTTTATAGAACATATTCGGAAAAAATCATATAGAATATTTGAACGAATAGAAAACCTCAAGTTATGGAAAGACTTCGGCAGACTTACGTTTTTTTTTACTTTCTATGTGGAACTTTACTACAAATTCATACATTGACAAAGAAAAATATATCGTAGGAAGAGGCTAAATGACACGAAAAGAAGAAGAATATTTGTCAATTTTACCTACTCTGACCTCAAGTTTCAGTCAATGAACTCAATATAAACACCATATCTCGAATAGCACAAAGTGTGTCAGGGGCAGCTGCAACAAAGATAGCTTGTGTTACGGTAACCTGTCTCTTTCACACTCGTGTTGTATAATGGCGGATTGGTGTATAAATTTTCTTTTATCCAATGATTGAAGTACTTGAGATTTTCTTTTTTCATCTAAATAGGCAAAAAAGTGAAGACAAAACTTCATTGTTTTTTGTTATGTGAAATATCGCTAAATTTGGCGTGTTTTGTTTCTTTATGTTATATGCACCCACTTTTTGACCCTATTATTTCCGTACGGCAAGATTTGAGCAGCAGCTTGAGTACGTTAATCGGCGAATTATATTCGCATGACAGTTTCATGATTTGAAGAGAATTTATAAAAATTCAGAAATCAGAGCCTCAAGAATTGCCTACTTATAATTGACGAGATATTTGCTGAGAAACGAGACTGGTTGGTTATGTGTTAGGTCGTTGATTGATATATTACGCTTACGCTAAGATGCCCAACCTGTGTTATTTGCGAGTCGATGCCCCGCTCATCCCCTCGTCTATCGTTTTGCCACTGTGAGGTAGCGACTCCACTAGGCACACAGAACATGTCTGAACTAATTGTACAGATTACTACAATTTTGTACAGAATTACAGATCCCATCCCAGCGCGTGCTATCGCTCCAGAAATTTTTGTTTATCCTTGTCTTCTACGATGAGACCCGACCCGCCCGACATGTTCCGATAAAAAATGTTTGCTACGGTCGGTGAATCCCATGGACGTATGTGGGAATTCCGCAATCCGCAACAATAACAACGGGTTACGACTGTTACGAGTATTGATTTTTCCCTCGGTTCCTTGCGGAAGAGAGAAGAACATATTATGATCTCTCACTCAGTTGGATTCCTACTCCTTGGCGTTTTTTTAAATTCCCTTGTGAATAACTTGTCATACTTTGCCTAGACCAATATATATGTATATCTGGAAAAACATCTCACGCCTTTTTGTTGAATATTTTTTTCACTCAATTTGTATCCATATTCAAGTTTTGTATTAATTAGACATTACAAAATATTGATAATATAATCAATCTGAATGTGATGATAATTTCGATCTTAGAGTCTCATCAGTAGATAGAAAATAAATAGTCAGATATCTTTGAATCTTTGATTGTTAATGATTCACTATTAAAATGAAATAAAATACATCATCTATATTGGCATAATATACAGAGTGAGTCATAACTATTGGAACATATATAGAATTCATTTATTTATTGGATTACAAGAGTTGAAGCTGCAAAACTTATGAAACATTTTTTACAGTAGTATCTAGTTGTTGAAAAATATGAGTTCTTTTTTGGTATATTTAACTATAATTGAAGAGATAGAAACAAATTCAACAGAAAACAGCTACATTTCCAGTCTATATATGCCACGATATATAATCTATAAATAATATATAATCTAAATAATTGAAATGAAAATAAAGAAAATTGTCTCAGAACTTCTCAAGAAATAATGACCATTTTTCGCAAACAGAAATCGTTAATGCATAATGCCCCTCATTTTTAAATATCCACGAATGATAATAATAATTATATACCCAAATCCTAACAAAGTTGTATTTATTCAGGTTTCTGCAGTTTAGTCCTGTTTAAAAATCTGTTTGGCACATAAATCTTCAGAAGGCATATCATTCAATGGAGTAAGGTGCGTGCCTGATAAGCTAAAGGTCCCGGGTTCAAACCCTACTCGATCTACATTTTTTCTTTTGTCGAAGGGATGTCCCTGGAATATCCTTGCGACCTCCTAGGGATATCCTTTCTTCGTTCTTGGTTGATATCCCCGGGACGTACCAGACGGAAATCCCTTGGATGCTTTTTTGTCAGCCAGCTGATGTCCCTGGGACGTTCCTAGTATGTACTCTGTCCCGGCAAAGGATATCTCTGGGATGTCCTTGCATAAAATTAGGGACGTCTCTATGGCAAGTCCCTAGGATGTACTTGTGTTGTTATAGGGCGACAAACGACGGCTTGGCAGCCCTATCGCCGACAAACGCACTGAGTCGGCCGCCCCACAAAAAGTCAATGGAAATTATTGGCACTCCAAGTTTCGGCCATACATAGGTCGGATATCATTTATATACCAGTATAAAATACTTCGGATTGATAGCGGTATATAGAATTGTCACGCAATGTTCCGCGTTTTTCATGTGATAAATATCAGTAATTTCAATAATTAAAATTTCAAAAATTGTACAGGGTGGCCAACTAAGACTCCAGAGTTCGATTTCTCTGTTGTCTTGAGAGATACACAAAAAATTCATGTATCAAAATTGAAGTAATAACCGAGCTTCACATTTCAAAATTTCTTTGAAATACACAGGGTGTTCCGTAAGGTCACAGCACATCAAAGCTATGTTTTTTTCATCGAAACACCCTATATTTTATTTCATTTTTGAATTCTCCCTGAACATCTGATTTCAACGACCTATCATACTTAGGGTCTAGCAGTGAAAGTTACTGACATATAGGGTGTGCAAAATCGAGATTTTCCAAGTTCAGGAATTTTTTCTGTCGAAACTATTCATTATTCGTCAAAACGGTTTACATGTCCCTATCTCAACTTTTCACTCACTATCAATTGGTGTTCAATTGAAATTGATACAAGGTGGTCAAAAAATCAAAATTTATAATTTGTTTCAATTGAATGTCAATTGAACACCAATTGATAGTGAGTGAAAAGTTGAGATAGGGACATGTAAACCGTTTTGACGAATGATGAACAGTTTCAACAGAAAAAAATCCTGAACTTGTAAAATCTCGATTTTGCACACCCTATATGTCAGTAACTTTCACTGCTAGACCCTAAGTATGATACGTCGTTGAAATCAGATCTTCAGGGAGAATTCAAAAATGGAATAAAATATAGGGTGTTCCAATGAATAAAACATAGCTTTGATGTGCTGTGACCTTACGGAACACCCTCTGTATTTCGAATAGATTTTGAAATGTGAAGCTTGGTTATCACTTTAATTTGAATACGAAACTTTTTTTTGTATCTCTCAAGACAACAGAGGTATCGAACTCTGGATTCTTAGTTGGCCACCCTGTACATAGCTCTGACAAGAAAATGATTTGCGACAGTGAATTATAGTAATTCGACATAATGAAATATGAAATTCCACTCAACAAGGTGACAACACTGGATGGTCCGGGTTCGTGAATTTCAATCAAATTTATGAGCAGCTTATATATTGATATCCGCTGACCAGTTTATTCCACAATCGCCAAAAATGGAAGCATTTATTGTTGATACATTAAATTTTGTGATTCACTCCAATTCGATTTCTATAAACTTTTTTCATGATCTCACGTCCGTGATGCGCTCGGTAGAAGCACATCCAGTACAACTATTACTAACAAATTCGAATTTACCGCCATATTAGTTAGAATCGTACTGATTGATCGTGGATTCGATACAAGCGTTCTGGATTATGGATTGTTTAATTGTTCCAAGGTTGGTAAAACTACCAACCTTGAATTGTTCCAAGTCGCACGCCATCTGCATTCCAATAGATTCTCTTCGTAAGTGGCGCACCTGCCAGTCAAATTACGAAGTATTGCTCCGACATCGTTCGACACTATCGCCGCCACTATGTGAGATTTCGAACTATGGTACGCCATCTAGTTGTGAGATTTTTTTGGACCTCGTTTTGCCCCATAAGGTTGGGCATCTTCCCAGCGTAAGCGTAATATATCAATCAACGGTTAGGTCAAGCCAACTTTTGTATTGTTACTTCACTACTTTTGGAATATTCCATTATTTTCTGAAACTTCAAGGAAGCACAAGCTACTCCAAATGGTGAACAATGTTACTGAAAAAGCAAATCTGATTATATCACTGCCACCCGAGGATGGAAGATGTTCGAAGATTTTGGTGAAGGTTCTCAAGATAATAAAAACGCCAGAATATCTTAGCTCAGATATAAATATCGGCAGGAAGACCGACGGTAGCAGTAATGCATAGAGAGGTATAGATAATTCTAAAAATAGCGAGTGTGTAATAGTAAAATAGTTGAAATTGATATATTAGAATTATAATATGTAAATATTGTGATTTTGTATCATGTCCTGTAGACTGTAGTATTTGTATTTGAATAAATGGTTTTGTGTAAAGCCAAACCAGGACAATTATCGTAACAGTATTGATTGATTAATTCCATAACATATTTCAATGTTTAGTAATGTTGATAAAATAAATAAACTTACCTCTCCATTTACTGAACATGAGTGACTTGAGAACATTTCCCAGAGCCGAAAAAAACACCCAAATAAGAGCTATAAAACTGGATCTCAGTCTGACCAGAATGCCCAAAAATAGTACTACTGTCCAAATAGTTTGATATGCATCATAATATAGCTGAAACACCGTCCATGGAGATGATTCAATGTCCTGGAAATAAATTGAAATATTTTCTCTCAACTGAACTCTGAGGACAAATTCACTTGAACTGTTATACGATCAAGTCAATTTGGTAAGATCCTGTAACAAGATCCATATTCTCACTCTAGCTAGCTGACGTCACTAGAGCGTGAGGTATCTATCAGTCATTTTGCCGTGGAAGCTGATTTCTTGAAACCATTTTTTTATAAAAATTGTTTTCTGTGCAAATAAATATAAAAAATTCAAGGTTTTTTCTCCATAGTGAATGATGATGTATACCGCACGCTTCAGTGTCTATTTTAATACCTAAAAATTCAGGTGGGCATTATATGTGTATTTAGTGGCTCTAAAAGTGTAAAAATGTAGATTTTTCATCATTTTGTTGAAAATTTGATGATATAATTTTGTATTCACCACCCCAAAATTTGAAAAAAGTACCTACTTTTCACACAAGTTACAACAAATAAACTAAAATTTGTTGTTCAATGAATTACCTTATTATATACTTTGGCATGCAGCAAAATCACAGCCATGGACACAACTAGGGTGGGAATTACATACAAGAAAAAGATCCACAAAGGTCGAGCATACCAACTCATCGTTCGTCCTAGACAATTTAGTAGCGCCGCTATGGATACTGTTGCTATGACCGTTAGCAGCCAAGAAAGAAAACCCATAACCATGCATCCGAATAGCTTTCTTACATATTGCCTCTTTGTCAAACCTGAAAATAACAATGTCATTGCGAAATGATTACATTAATACATATACAGGGTGTCCCGAAATTACATAGAAAAATTTCAACCATAGATTCTAGAGACAAAAATAGTGAAAAAAAGGTCATATTAAGATGGGTCCAGAAATGGCCTCCTGGGAAGTAATAGCTATCTAAAGGAGAGCCTGAAATGATGGTTTTGAGTGAATATTTTTTAATCCCACTGTGATAAAATATCCAAATTTTGTACATACACTTTAGTTTTTTTTTAAGAATTACCCGAAATTTTCATCAGCGTGGGGAATAGGGCCCTTTTTCTCCCAACTTTTTTGTTTATACAATGTTCGGCAATTTGACAAGAAAATATGGAAATCCTACTATTTTTACTTGGAAATGGTACTCTTGTTGAGTTTTGATAGCATTCACCATTTTCGAGATAAATCGATTATAATATTCAGCTGCGTAAAAAATAGGGCTTTTTCCTCAGGTATACTGAATTTTTGTTTTGATATAAACTCCCCATACATCTACCTTCGATGTTTGATTCAAAATATGGGGGTGCAATGTAAAGAATGAATGAAAAATAATATGGTAGGTACCCTATTAAGAAAAAGTACTATTTTTACTATGCAGCAGAATCTAAAAATCGATTTATCTCGAAAATGGTGAGTGTTATCGAAACTAAACAAACTGTTTTCAACTAAAAATGGTGATTATTTAATATTTCCTGGACAACCTGCCAAAAATTGCATAAACAGAAAAGTTGGGGACAAAAGTGTCCCCCCACCCAAATAGGTGGCTATTTCTCACGCCCCTGATCAAAATTCCCGATTTTTTTAAATCGGGCATGAAAAGTAAGGTATATTCGTCTCGGGCTCCCCCTCAGATAGCTTTAACCCCCCAGAGGTGCATTTCTGGACCAATGTTGACATACACTTTTTTTACTTTTTTTGTTCCTAGAATCCGTGGTTGAAATATTTCTATGTAATTTCGGAACACCCTGTATATAGAGCGTACCTCGAGGTCTATTCCATTCATATGTAACTAACGTAATTGTTTCAATGAAACTAGAGAATGTCTGATAATGAAAATAAAAATGATGAAAATAATTCCTGATATAATAATCACATACTGGGAAAAACAAAGTGATACATAAAGACATATTTTGTAGAAACTTATAGGGTATTTCACGACGACAAGGTCAAACGAGGTCTGAAATCACCAAACTATCAGTATTTTCAACTAGAAGAGGATTCTTTTCAAGCTCTTTCATTTAAAACTTGACTCTAACAAAACCAATATAATAGATAGGGCATTTCATGTAAAAACATCCAAACTCCAATACGAGATGAACAATTTTCCATTTTTTTTATTCTTCCATCTTGAAGCACTGAAAATACTGGTATTTTGTTAATTTAAATAATGTTGCATCTTCAATAATAACAAATGATAAGACACCCAATTTGAATGGCCCTGTTGAGGGTGATTTATAATGCACGGAAAATGAATATTTGTTAATTGAATCAGCTCAAACAGTTCGTGATGTAACTCACTCATCAGGTCTCAAAAGTGCAAAAAACTCAGGACATGACTAAAAGTTAATTAGTCCAATTTGTTTTTGTGAGGTGACATCGACCAATATGTCGAATATTGAAATATTCCATGCTATAGAATTACACAATATTGTCAACAAATCGCCATCCATTTTGATCTTGGCTATCATACAAATTGGTTCATTAATTTTCACTATATTCAAATCAACTAACATTATTATGGGTCATGAATAAAAATTGACTAATAGTCCAATAAAATGATATTTGCACGTTTAAACAATTCAAGTAGTCGGTTTCCCTGCGGTTTAATGTTTTTCAGCGAATTTTACTGATTTTCCATTGGCAACACTGTTTTCCGTTATTTTAGTCGAACATATGATCGTGACACCTGTGCATTGCTAAATAAACTTTATGTACTAAGGTGATACAAAATCAAGATATAATCTAAAAAATTGGTCCAGACTAAAAAGTCAGTTCCAAGATTACATCGGCTTACGACAAAAATATACCAACATCACCTCTATTTGCAATCACGAGTAACTAGATGGTATTAGTCAGATAAGAGTTCGGACACAGAAATGACAACTGTGTTTTTGAATGTTCAGATTTATTTTTCATTCAAAATTGTCTGAATTTGACAATACATTTCATGAACGTCAGAATTGAAGAATTGATATCTAAATCGACCGATTTTTCCTGAAAATCCTAATCACTGCAGATCAGAAGATATGCATGGTGGTATGTTTTGAGATGAAAGCCCTGTATGTATATTTCTAGACTATGAGAAATTTTTTATATTCTAAATCGACCCTGTAGAGCAAAAAGAAAAGAGAAATAGAAAATTGTGCAGGTGAGCAGAAAAACTGAATTCTTTTAGTTTAAAATTGTATTGCCACTTTTTAAAATTCTTTGATATGAGTTTTCGAATGAATAATTACTCCAATTATGACAGTTCACTATTTTTGGTTGAAATGAAAATGCACATTTGGGAAAAAAATGCCACTAAACCCCTTGTCGCTTTTAGGTTAATTTCGAAAATATTTTCTGAAAGCTTGACTCTTTAATTTTGTATCCAAAATTGCATAATTTACTGGGTTAAATTAAATTTAGGAATACAAAAATAATTTCTTTGAAAATTATTACAAATTGAAGCTCAACATAACATAAACATTCATTTTGGAAATTCTTGGAAACAGTAAAGCTGACTTAATCATCAACATCCGACTCGTCAGTACCACTCATATCGTCCTCTATCTCATTGGAATATGGCAATCTTAAATATTCATATTGAAGATCTTCTGGTATGTTGCCATCTCGGCAAAGTTTTTCCAAGCCCTTGAACTTTTTTTTCAAACTAATTGGAATATTTCGTGAGTAGGCCTTTGAAATAACGAAATATACTTACATATCCAAGCCACGTTGTGATGAAAAAATCGAAGCAAAAAGGTTCCAAGTGCACTCAGTGTGGCGTTTAGCACCTCATCGCACAAAATTTTTTAGGATAACAAGGGACCAACCACAGTCGGCAGGCACCTTTTTGCACTCATTTTTGTATGATTTTTGGCGCTTGTAACCACGGGTATAATTGCAGTTGGTTGTCTGGCGCTTGGCACGTTAATGCCCATTTATAGAGGAGCTTTTGAAATGGCGTTTGGCGAAAGATCAAAAAATTTCGAATTTTGGCGCTTGGCTCCTTTTTGCTCTACAAGGGCGATATATTCAAAATACGTGAAGTTTTTGGCTAGGTTTTTGGGCCTCATGAGTGAATTATATCAGCAGAATTTGAACATGAAAATTATTCAGACTCTTAGAATAGCTTTGACCCTCTCGTCGTGGACCACACTGTACAGCCGCTGTTTATAAATAGAAAGTATTTCGTAGTCAGATGCTATTATATTTATCTTCAGACAGTACTGTAATTAAATTTGATGAAAATAATCAATTTAAATTACCTATTGATTAGAAACTCATGCAATTATTATTGAATCATTGATTAATGTCTGTAAACATACTAGATCCAGATTGATGAATAATAATATGAGAAACTCACTATCTGTTTCCGCAACGCTCTTCATATTACCATAAAGAGAGTAAAGGGAAAATATCACAGATGATATGTTAATAATGTCTGCCACTATCATTGGCCATCGTATAACAAATGCACCGAGGAAATCGAAGAAAACCAAATTTCCCGGTTTGTATTTCTCTATGTTGGACAGCTGGTGACCTTGGGCCATTCCTCGGGCCAAAGCCAAAATATTGTCTCCTGTCCTCTGTAAAGACCCCAGAGGAACTTGTTCGATCGAATCGTATTTTGTGTGGTATACGTAACCGTTTGCAGACCATGCAAAATCTAATCCTGAAAATATTTGAAAATAAAAAAAATTAAATTAGTGGGTGCTTCATTGAAAATGGTGCAGACATTTTTCTGATGGCCTAAACGTTGAAGCCCCCGTCATTCCTTGCTCGCACAAGTCTCTTTGAAGATTTCTAAGGATTGCTTGTAAGGGGGGAAGACGGATAAGAACAATTTTAGAACAATACCGAGACAGTATGATGAATCAACCTCTTCCTCATTGAATACATGGTGTTTCGTTATTGAACGGACATACTGATGCAACCTGAACCAGGGGACATTGAGGTGGATTCGGATCACCTACTTCATGGTGTCATGTTTGTTGATTTTATGGCGAAAATATTGTTTCATTTTTCATTATGATATTGACATTATTGGAAAGATCACCAGAAATTGAATATAAATCACTCTATATTTGTTCTGACAAACTTTTCATAGTTTCAGATATCTATGCTAACAAAATCTCCATTCAGTTGTTTTCTATGTGAGACTGTCGACATCCAAACTTCAAACACGCCGACGCCGCATAGTGCGAGATATTCTGCAATTGATATTGGATATACTTTACCAATTTCATAAAAATTACTTGAAACGTTGCATAGCAACAAACTTTTTCTACCTAGGCAGAGGAAGTACACCTTTGCTGTCTGTTGTGTCATGGAAACGCCACTTTCTATGGCGTTAGGAGAAATAAATTATATTATTGGCAAGCAAGACTTTGTATTCTAATGCTTACCAGAGAGATTTCCAAAATCTCTGAAAATTCTATAGTCAGTGTCGCCAGGAATAACACCGCTTTGAAAAATTTCTTGAGCTAAAGAAGAAGCGTATGGATAAGGTACTTCTTCCGAGTATGTCTCCAATATCCACGGATGGTTAGGCCCTGCTTGAAAAAGCACTTCTCTTCCTCCAGCCCCACATGCTTCCAAATTTATGAAGGCTCTTACCTAAAAACCAGATGTTCAATGATATTGATTGATTGACTTCAAGGATTTCATCAGGAAGCTAAAATCTCTGCAGTTAAAATCAATATAATGATGGTAAAAAGTGAGCCATTATACAGGGTGAGGCAATAGTGCATCAGAGTCAGACTGCTAGAGATCTAGGATAGCGAGGAACATTAATCAAAAACCACGGTAGTCATTTAGGGGGGAGGTAGGGGGGCAAAAAGTGACCCCCCTTTGGTAAATATCAGAATTTCCTTAAATGTAGAAACTGGCGCCTTCCAGCATTTGAAAATTTCAAGGAGCACTATCAACTAATTTTTTCTTCTGACTATAGGTACTTCCATGCAAAATAGACTGATAGTTTTTGCTCAGAATCTCTTAATAATTCCGCAAAATTGAGTAATCAGTCAGTATCCTTTGCTCGATAAAAATCATGCAACACTATTCAACCAATAATTTACATTACTTCAACCTCATTCAGATATTTTTTTATTCATTCATATTTATTTGAAGTTCCTATATTTTCGCTTTTTCGTTATCAAAATACTTCTCATCCCCGAAGGATTTTCTCTCCTAGTTTCTAAAAATAAAAAATATAAGAAAACAAAAATGTCCCTTTTTTCAAAAAATTTTACTTTCATAAAAGTGGAAGAGAAATCTGTTACTAATTTATAATCAGGGACATTTTATTCTTATCACACATAAGGGTTCAATATAATCTGATTTTCATCCAGCGAAACGAGGGGAAAAATATTGAAAAATCTGAAAATATGAACATTTACCTGCTCAGTGAACCTTCAGAGAGTATTTTAATACTTTTCATTTGCTCTTCCAGTTGTCTTATATTTATTTATAATTTTATTAGCAATTACAACAAAATGAGAAATGAAATTGAATGAGATGTGATATGAAGTCGTAGTCACTCTAGAAAAATTAAAATTCTCAATTAGAAGGCATTCGATCTTGCACCCCTCCCCCAATAGTATACACACGCCCCTGTCAAAAACGAATGTGAACAAGAAAACTATATGGCCTGTATTGACAAGAAATTATTGGTCACATATACAGGTCTTATTAATAAAAATCTAGAGAGCTAAGACATTTCACAGGTACTTAAAAATTCGGTTCACTGACATTCTTGTTTGGGTGCTTGCTTTTGTCAAAGATAATACTTATCTTTGCTTTTGTTGATGAAAAATGTGTTCAAGATATCGAAAATATGATGTGATGTATGTTGATGCTATCACGTGAGAGCTAATTTATTACAACACAGGTCTATAGAAATCCCAATTTATTAGATATTTTGAATATATCTACTGAATATTATACAATATATGACTCATGAATGAATCGCGGTGTCTATCTACTGTTATTTAGTCTGGAGTTCAAACATTTATTAGTCTTTCAATTCCATTCTTTTTGTTGAACAAAAGCCATGACCAAACCAAAACAAAATTCAACTAGTCCGTTAGAAAAATTTGCAGATGATGTTGCGACTATAATCAGAAAATAGTTGAGAATTCAATAAGTGACAGTGATTTTGTTTGATATTGAAATATATACCTAGCCCGTTTTCTAGATGCCGCGTAGTTTTAGTATTATTATTATATTAATCGATGCAACTCTAAATAGTGAATGATTCATGACGACTTTTAGAATTAGTAATTAATTATTCATATTACCAAATATTCCTTTGTTACTTCAACAATTGTTTTGAATTGTTGGGAATTATGCGTCTTTTAACCTTATTTGGTTGATTCTAACTTCAAAGATGCCTATTAAATGAAAAATTACTGTAATGAATACTTCATAAATATAGGCTTTGATATGCTGAAAAAATTGTATTGAACAAAAATTCCATGTTTCAATCACCTATTACTGAAACGGGATTAATAAGACATATACATTGAAAAACAATAGCGTCCAGGTAAGGATGGTCACACAGTTGAAATAATGAAAGAAAACCATCAACATATTCTAAGTCCTCTTATTCATATAATCAATCTTATCTTTCAAATTGGTGTTGTTCCGGCTCAGTTCAAGACATGCAATCATCACACCAATTGATAAGAGTGGTGACAAAACGAAGTTGAAAAACTAAATGTCAATTTGCTTAGTGGCTTATTTCGGCAAAATCTTTGGAAAATGTCTGGAAGAACGACTAGTGGACTTTATAACGGCAAACAATATGATGAAGATACACCAGTTTGGATTTCAGGAGGGACAATCAACAGTTGATAGTGATAAAGTCATTATTTTTCAATATATGACAAAAATGACAATGCTATGTCTATTAGTTTCAAAGTACTAGGCACAAATAATTTTATCTAGGTGATTTGGGTTAAATCAACATATTTTGAGCTCTGGAATTTATAGCTGAAATATTTCTAATTAGTAATGACACGCCCTATATGATTGGTTCAGATATGCATACTTCATATTGATAGTTTCCCATTATTTATCTAGATATATATTCATTATAATGATTTACCTAGGTTAAAAACATGTTATCTGTCATTAGAGGAATTCCTTGGATAATGATTTCTCAGTTTAGAAATGAAGAAAGAAAAGTTGAATGAACAAATAGAAAATTGAAATAGTTATTTATGCAACAAGTGCAATAAACAATTTTTGCACGAGTTGCATACAACATTTTTTCTACGTTCATGCAAAAAGCAAAAAATGATTTATTGAGTTGCGACACTAGGTACAATTCTGTTAATTGTCAGAATTAATTTTTGACTGACGTTTCTATAACCACAGTTGCAATATAAAAAATGTTTGTCATGATGACGTTGAAGTAGAATGACAGATGAGTGCAATAAAAACTTTATTGCACTAAGTGCAATAAAGAACTTCTTTTTCCACTAAATATAGTTCAATAAAGTTCTGCTTTTTGCATGAATGTAGAAAAAAAGAATTAAGCGGTTGAAAGTGGGACCAACAATATTTTTGCTTTTAGTAAAGTTTGAGGTCTATGTTCAAGCTGAAAGTTCCGAAATTTTTGCTGGATGGTTTTGAAGGCCAAAATTTATGAACAAATATATAGTTTGAGATTATGGGTATGCTTGGGCATTTGGCTATTTCAATACATATTTCTCAAGTTTTCGAACTCAATTCGGCATATTTAACATGTTCCTATAATACGTTAATTTTTTTAGTAACGGAACTTTCCTCCACTATTTCTGGTTCCGCTGGAAGTAATTAGGGATCTTCGCAAATTATACAGGTGTTTCAGAGTTGAAGAAGTTTTTCTAAAAATATTTCGAATTTCATGAATAGATTGACAAAGGTTTGGGCAAACTTGATGAAATTTTCAAGGTTTTTTCAAACAATCATAAGACATCTACTGGACTAATTAGATTTGATTCAGAATTTCAGCAGAACTCAGCGAGAAAGTCGGTTGTTTTTGCGGACTCCAGAATCAATGAGAATCGGCCATTTTCACGGTTTCTTCTGAATGACAGCGATTTTTTTGTGTTTACTAAATTGTGTCGGTCTTGCTCTACCAACACAGAAGCCGAATTGACCCACACGAGACCAAACATCCTCGTTATTCAGCGATAAAATTTTGAACATTTGAAACGACAATTATGTTGGAATCCAGAATGATGGATGCAGTGTGCGCAACTCTCGCGAGCCGCTCGTTTACTGTCTCAATCATGGAATACTCATACGAATACAACTCGTGATACTATTTTTCCTGGAAATATTCGTCGATGAACATATCCCTCGACCCAGCTTGCTGCTTTAATGTTGCTCATGACATTGTTCCAAAACTTCTCGTCTACGGCTCGGAAGTTTTGATAAACAATGTCATTCAGCGAAATTATTAGGCAACAAGCTGTCGTAACAATCGCCGAATATATATCACTTGTGGTATTACATATGAAAAAAATTTCAATAACTAGTACCAAAATTAAAATAAATGCTCAAACTGACAACATTCTGCTTCAATGCAGGCATTGCTGAAAAAATAATCTTTCGAATGAACAAGGACATAAATTACAATATTTTCGATGGTATTTTCAATACAAAGTATCCTATTTATGATTACAGATGCCTCACCCTGTATAGCAAACTGAGAGATGGTCTATTATTCAACATCATCATTGTCCTGTAAGCTATTACAGGTTTTAATAATCAGAGTCATTTTGTTTTGAACATATAAACATTCGAAAACAAGAACATCAATAATTTCCAATTTTCAGATAATCTTTACCTCTTGTGCCCATTTGTGTTGAGTTATGAAACCATGTGAAGCTGGCATGAAATTTTCTTCACCTCCATTGAAAAGGAATATGATATTGTGTCTCAACCTCTTGTGAGATTTCGATAGCACCCTCAATATTTCTAGCATAATTGCACAACTTGCGCCGTCATCACTGGCACCTGAAGAAACAATAAAATGTTACATGTTCTTTGAACAAGACAGATTTCAAGAAGGTAACACAAATTTTCTGGCAACTTCTGAGAAGTGACAAGAGACGAAAATAAAATATCGATCGCAAGAATTATTTTTCAGTTTTATACTGAAAACGGTAGCAGATTAGTTTTCGAAACATCCCAAGATAAGTGCAATATTGAATTCTTCATTATACCAAAATTTTTCTTTAAAGGTTTTTTCAAGAAGGATGTCACTGAGTAACAATTCAATATCTCTTTTAGGTTTCTAATAGGAACATCTCAAGCGCAATGACATTATGGAACGAATCATCTGATTTAACCTTACAAGTGTATTGAAATAAACTGGGCGTCAATTGAAACGTTAATAGTGAAATTTGGCATCAAGTTTGACTTCTTGTAATTTCTAAAATATTGAACGAATTTTGAATTGCCGCCCAGATTCTGAATGCCTTTTTCATCGTCTTTCGAACCGTTCCTTACAGCTTCTTCTAAATTGATCAGGATCCATGATACAGGGTGAAACAAAGTTACGTGCATTTTGAAAAAAATTTCTCCGCCCCCCCATTTTGTCGGAAGACCACGATGCTCATATTTTATTCAGGCATTTCATAAATAGCAACCATACCTCGGGACGTTTTCGAGTTTTTGCCAAAAACTACTGTGGTTTCCGAAAAAAAAAAAAAATTTGTTTAGCATTTTTTTTAATGGACTAATTACCTGTATCACCAAACGATGAATCAGTCTCTTTATTGTCATGACTGACTTATTGAAAATTATACTTAAATGAGTTTGGGTATATCCTAATCGTCGTAGCCTGAAATAATAATTATCTGTACTGAATTATAGTTTATATCACTATAGTGATCTTACCTAATGATATTTTCCATTTCGACCCGATTTGAACGAGGCATCTTTAAATTATTTAGGACCCGAATTACACTGACGTTTTCATGAAAATTGGCAATTGATATAACCTCTATGCATACCTACATTGTTTCAAGTAGTTTCAACAATACGCTGTTATAAAAACAAGGTATCCTTGTTTGTATTTGTTGATTTACTGCTCACTAAGGTAGAAAACTTTCATCATAGACTGCGAAGTAATAAATTATTGATTGTTTTTGAGTAACCTGGTATACATATCTGCTCCAACGATTTCCTGAAATGCATAAAAGCATCCATTTATGGAACTTCTCTAAAATAAGTCCATTTAAAAAAATGCAAAAAATTTTTTTTTCGGAAACCACAGTAGTTTTTGGCAGAAACTCGAAAACGTCCCGAGGTATGGTTGCTATTTATGAAATGCCCGAATAAAATATTAGCATTGTGGTCTTCTGACAAAATGGGGGGCGGAGAAATTTTTTTCAAAATGCACGAAACTTTGTTTCACCCTGTATCACGGGTCCTGATCAATTTAGAAGAAGCTGTAAGGAACGGTTCGAAAGACGATGAAAATGGCATTCAGAATCTGGGCGGCAATTCAAAATTCGTTCAATATTTTAGAAATTACGAGAAGTCAAACTTGATTCCAAATTTCACTATTAACGTTTCAATTGACGCCCAGTTTAATAATACTGATATTTCGTTTTATAGAAACGAGGAGAGGAAATCTCAAAAATCTAAAGAAATTTGTACTCCTCCTCCGCGATTAACCTACAGAGGTGAATAATGAAAATTTACTTCATTACATTTGAAATTGAAAACAAAATAACAACTATACTACATTCCAAATAAGAAGACAGTAAATGGCGCTGCCTCTGAAGGAACGTTTACACTGAAGAAATGAATATAGGGCGCCTAATTCTAAATCATAGACATTCAAATGATTGAATATACAGGGTGTCCCATAAGTCATGGATCAAAAGAAGTGGGGTTGTAGAGGGGGTCATTTGCAATCAAACTAACGGTATATGTGGTTATCAAATTGTTGATGGTTCAAAAGCTATTCATTTTTTCTGAAAAAACGAGCCCCTTTTGAGAAAACTTGATAACAAAAAGTATGTTTTGATTAACCACATATGTTATTTCATTTCGGAATCTGTATTAACTGGGTAACTTTATCTTATAATTGGTTATCTTTATGGGGTAGTTTTTAAATCTGCCAGCGGCATTTAAAAATCAACATATATATTTCATTCAATGACAAAACTCAAGGAAAACAACATTTCTCTTAGGAAATTGATACGAAGTAATGCAAGAACACTGAACATTTCAAATAGAACACTATCCTTCAACAATAAACTCATCAAATATACAGATGTTACAAAATTTTCAGGTCTTTATATTGATGAACGACTATTGTGGAATGAACATATAGATCATTTGAGAAACAAACCTATTCCCATTACAGGCATTTTATTCAAAATAGGAAATTTCATTTCTACTAGATACTTGAAGAGTATTTATTTCTCTCTTATTTACTCAAAATTTCAATACCTAATATCTACCACTAATGAAATTACAAAATAAAACATTGAAGTGTATTTTCAATTTGAATTTTCTCGAACCAACCATGAATTTATACAAACCTAGAGATTTATTAGATCTGACATCACTATATAAACTTAAAATATGTTGTTTTATTCATTTTGTCCTATTTAAATTGAAAATTTCGAATTAAAATTTCAATAAAATCAATTCATTACATAATCATGGAACAAGACAATCAAATTTACTAATAGCAAATACGTTTAAGTCAAATATCGGCAAACAATCCATTTTTCACACAGGAATCGTTCTATACAACTCATTACCAAGTCAATTGAGGAATATACAGGAAGCAACTAGATTCGAAATTAACTTGAAAAATATCTGCTTCAGAGACTTTGAAAATTCCATTTCTTATTTGAATACCTACTTATGAAAGACAAGGTTGATATTGATTGATTATTTGTATTTTTTTTTTACTTGTTATATCTTATAATCTCATTATAATTTCATAATTGTATGTATAACATTATGTATATTGTTTATGTATCCCTATTATAAACAACTATGTTTCTTGGAGTAAAAACAATCAATATGACATAGTGTTATTTTCATTGATTTTTTTTTACAGACATGAAAAAAATGTATAACTTTTGAACCATCAACAATTGGATAACCACATATACGGTTAGTTTGATTGGAAAAAACCCCTTCCACCACTCCACTTCTTTTGATCTATGACTTATGGGACACCCTGTATGAGAAATACGACAAATGAAAGAGATGTGATCATCTTCCCATGAAGATAAACTTCAATCTTAACGTCACGTCATATGTCATAATATTAGGCAATATTAGGCCTCCAATATTGACCAATCAAAGCGAAGGTCAACCCTTCCCTATGGTATCCAATGCTGTCTTCTAAGTTGGAATTGACTACAGAATAGTTATTTGCAAAAGTGAGGTTAGATGGTATAATGCGCTAAAAAACAATTGTTCCGAAAATTTGCTTCATATACAAAGTTCCATGCATTTATCACGAAAAATCTATCTAACTCTTGCCCGTTAGACAATCCGTTGTTACAGCGAAATTCGAGCATGAAATAAATGATCCAATTCGTTGATTTTGCATCATCCTTATGCACATCTCCAGAAGATAAATAAGTGAACAAGCTATATAAATTGTTAGTGGAATCAATATTATCATTTTTTAACTGTTGCACACAAGGTAGATTAGTAAGATAAAATAAATATTGATATTGAAAAAAAGTTCAAATAATAAATGCTTCTGCTATCAAGTATTACACCCATATGAATAATAGTAAATATGTATTTTGGTGATAAATGGAAAATATAAAATACCGTTAAACGTTCTTACTTTGAACAGTTTTTTGTTTCAAACCTGTTTATCTCAGGTAAGGCAGCGAATGAGAAATCCCAAAAAAATATATGTATATCCCGGGAGTCAGTTAGAAGTTCCTACTGTCAAAAAATTAAAATTGAAAATCATGATCAATAACGTTTTTTTTTCTGTGACGGGAAAAAAGTTTGGCATTTCATCTCTGTTGGCAGGTTATAAAATGTCACTTTTCATAAATTACTTTTCTCCCGTGGAAAAAAAGTGAGTACTTTTTTCCCGGATATACAGGGTGTTTAAAAAAAACTAACCCCCTTGCTAGGGTAGGTAGGACATTGCAAAATAAGTTGGGTTTGCTCAGTGAAAAAATGTCGTTACGGCATCCGTTTGATAGAAGGGGTTGAAAAAATTATTTTTTTACACATTTTTCACGATTATTCCGAAACTAATGGCAACATTGTAATGAAATTTTGTATGGATGTTCCTTGGGATCTGACACATCGCATGAATTTGTTTTTATATCTGACTCTCATAGAGGGCGCTAGTTACACGGTTCGTACCGAGTAGTTTTGAACATAACTTTTTTGAGGTTAGATTTTTCAATCCAAATATGATATGAACTTGAACGTCATTCAATTTTACACCAAAAAGGTACTCTCGGTGAAACTCGATACTATGTTCCATTTTCGGAATATTTCGATTTGAAAATAATGGAGTAGTAATGATGCTGGTATAAAATGAATTTTATTGAGTTCAATTACCTATTTATTCAGGTTCAAAAACAATAGAATTATTCTTGTGCTGAAGTAATTGATGGAACAAAGAATCATAAGTAGAAAATTAGGAGATATTTGACTAGAAACATGAAATATTGAATCAGTTAGAGTTAGATATAATTCAATGTCGACGTGGTAAATAGCCAGGAAAGTAGTTGTTTTCTGTTGAATATTTGGAATGATATTCCCATTCATATTTTTATCTGAAGGAGAATACAAATTCTCAACATCAGAAGATTTTGTTTTCAAATTCGTATCGTGTATGTTCAATAGAATATATCGTCGTGGCATACAGCCAGGAAAGTAATTGTTTTCTGTTGAATAAACCGAGAAAGAATTGATGTTTTCATCACATAGAGAATGTGAATTCTCAATGTATTTCTTTAGATATACATATATATCCATTCTTTTATGTTCATGATTTATCTGAAAATATTCTTTTTCAATAAAAAAAGTGTGTTGCAATATTTTTAATTCAATATAGATTTGAGTGGGATTTGAACATGCTGAGGCTTCCTTTAAATAAGCAAAATAGGGTACCTATGAAAACATTCTGTTTTTGCACAGTTTGCAATTTTCAATTCACCAAGAACATTCTGAACCAACATAGTGGGACATATATTTTTCTCGAATAAACATATGAAAAATCTTAAGTTGTCGTCATGTCCGGTAAAACCGAAACTGGAGAAATGAACATCCCATGTATTGATTTTTTATACAAACAATGACAAAAGCATTACATCATTGTAAACATATGAAAAAAAAACTCACCCGGACTATCAACAACTGAGTCAAAATGGCAATTAATCAGTACACTATGTGGTGAATTGATCTCTGAACCAATTTTGACCACCACATTCTGTACGTCCTGATAAACATTCGTCATGCCATCCAAAAACTCTAAATTGAAAGCTCCAGACGCTTTCTGGATGTCCAGCTGTATCACATGAATGCCGTTGGCATCCCTCATAATACTGTCAACTTCTTGTCGAAGCACGTTGACTGCCACCACCTCGTTCTCATAGCTTCCTGCAGTTCTGGGCCCCACGGCTGTCAGATTTTTCAAAATGTTGTACGCACGCTCAGCTATAAAGCTGTTGGGGTATTCCCGTTCATCTTGTACTCTTAGCCCTGTTGGTAATTGTTTTTCTATGTATATGACTAGAGAGAACACAATCAGCATCAAGCCGAACACTGCCAGGAAGTGGTTGTGGGGCATAGGCCGATGGAACTTCGATTTTTCGTATATGCTGTCGAGGAAGTCATTGCCAGGTGATCGGTTGGAGAATCTATTCCTCAGTAATGAATTCTGCAGGTACAATAGAAAAACATAATTTGAGACAGCAGCAATAGTTGGATTTTTTTCGAATATTTCACATTACAATGTTTTCGCTTTCAATATTTTCCAATTGTCGGCGGAATAGCGCAGTGGTTGAGGTGCTCGACTAGTAGTAATCAGAACGGAATTTTTTTTCTACAAGCGTGCGTGATTCACCCTATACCCGCACGCAATTTAGTTTGGGAAGTGTCATTTTCCCACAGTAGTGCGGGAAAAGTTTTCCCACACTAGTGCGGGAAATTTTTTTTGTGCCGGAAAAACATTTATAATATAATATTCTCGCAAAATATGAGTGGTGGGTGACACAATATGAAAATTTTAGGTTTTTTTTATGTTCTGGTTCCCACGAAGAGGGATATCCTGTAATGTTCAGGAAACATCGTGAGAACCAAGGGAAATAAGGTAGGAATTGGTGTTCTTCTTGAATTTCTTGAGGTTATATGCCTCGGGGAACACCTTTCTTGGCAATGTGTTCCAGAGCCTCGCTGCTCGTTGGATGAACGAGTCTTTGGAAAGAGATGTTCTGCAGGTCTCCAAAGTGACCACGAAGGGGTGCGAAGCCTCAACTCGTCGGGTTAATCTCGCGGGGACTGCCAAGGGAGGAATAATATTGTTTATTTTTCTGGAGAGCATCGTCCATGAAAACATCTATAAAATAGAGCCAGATCGCCAACTTTTCTTCGGTGTTCCAGAGAAGTGAGTGAGTTTGTGAGCGAGGCAAATATGGGAACAGTATTCCAGGACAGGTCGGATCTGTGCCTTATAGATCATAAGCAGTTGACTGGAAGTGAAATAGCTCCTGGCCCGAAACAGAAAACCAAGTTTTTGAGATGCACTTTTAGCAATTGATCTCACGTGATTTTCCCAAGAAAGGTTATTGCTGATAGTAATACCAAGCATCGAAATAGATGTCTTCAAAGGTATGGCTACTCCTGACACAGTGAGATCGGCTTCTCTAGAGAAAAGGCATGCTTGTGTTTTGTTTGCATTGAAATCTATAAAGTTATTGGATCCCCATTAGAGAATTGTTGCCAAGTCCATATTTGTGTTGTCAACATTTCTCCCTCGTTCGTTTCTGATTTGCCTGGCTGGTATTGGCATGTATTGGAGCCCTGGAAGAGAAGGCGGTATGGAGGGTACTATCGTCCATCGAATTGCACTATTTATTGTGAAAATGAAGAAATATTGAAAAATAATAATTGATTGTTATATAAATCCCTCTATTCGCGATAGAAAATAATCGTCGCCCTACCTGACGGCAACATTTGAACACTTCTGAGCGGTTTGTTTTGATGGATTTGACCAATAAGCAGAAACAAAAAACAGATGTGAACCATTGAAAACAAAGTAAACAGGCCGCTTTGACAGCTTGCAAATACTCCGATAGATGGCGAACGCTTATTTTCTATCGCGAATAGTCTTTAATTGATCTTATGTGTTGTCATGTCAAGTCATGTCAATCAAAAGACAAATTAGTGTAATTCTCAGAATGACAGACAGAGCGACTGTCATTTTCGATTCAGTGGAATTGCAATACAAAACGTCCAGCTACAGATGCGATACAGATGAGTTATTGCCAACGAAGTATTGAGAAAGGTATGAGGAGCACTACACGGGATTCATTGAATGGTGCGATAGTAAAAAAGTTGAAACACCAAATAAAGAAGAACTATTTTTGGCTCATTTCCTAGAAATGTCTGAAACCTAGAGGCCAAACACCATGGGTATGCTGGCTTCCGCAATAAGCTTACCTACATATTGCTTCAAACGGTACACACAATAGATATATCACTAACTATTAGAAGATAGAGAATATATCACTGTTGTTAGTTGTTCCTATATGCAGAAATAATTGATTGAACAAATCAATCAATTTCCTACGCTTGTAGAAAAAGTATTGTTCGTTACTCATGCGGAAAGTATCTTTCTTGCACTCGACTGCTTGCCCGAACTCCGGTTCGCGTCGTTCGGGTCAACGGCATTCGCGTGCGGGAAATTATCACTTTCCGCACTTGTTAGGAAAATTACTATATTTAGGGTGTCAAAAATGTGTACCGAGCTTTCTGGACCTTATAGTTATTTACCTAACACGTGCGGAAAGTAGTACTTTGCTACACTACTGTGTATATCTCAGAATATTTTGACATTTTGGCGCAAACCGCGATTCGATATCTTCAATTGTTTTTGAGTTATCTGAAAATAACTAGCTTTTATGCATGGCATCTTATCAGTTAGTAGGCCTTGCAAAGAAAAATTAATTATTATATCTAAATTTCTGCGCTAGTGGTGAAAAGGGTTATTTTTTATTGTGAGTACCTAGGGAGGATAGAAAGAGGAGGTAGGTACTGGGATATTTTGTTACATTTGTGCATTGAATTAATATTTGAATGCCACCTAAAATATTAAAAACAAGAATGTAAAGTATATCGTTAAGTGAATTGCAATAACAAAAAGTAACTGTTTCTACGGCTATTTATAACAGAAAATTTATCTTGTTATACGACGCTATACATAGTGGAGTATACTACGGCCGTGCCAAAAATGCTATCTCGGAAACTAAGCGAGATAGAGGTATAGTTGCTTTGGAGAAAATGATCCCCATCGAATTTTGAGCAACTTTGGTTTTTGTGTGTGGTCTGTCTGTCTGTCTGTCTGTACTCTGTGTTAATCATAAATCGATATATCTCCGGAACCCTTTGACATATCGACTTGAAATTTTGCCATCTTATTGTACTCAAAACAATATTATGTCATTAAAATATGAAGGAAATCGGAGAACTCTAAGGTGGTTTTTCCGGGTTTTTTCGATTTTTCACCGGAAGTTCCTTGTAACCACTCTACAAATCGCAAAAGTGGTCCGATCGATTTCATTTTTTGTGAAAAAAACCTCTATCAGGAAGAGACGAAGCCTATTGAAATTGAGCAGGGTCGGAAAATTCCAAGTGGGTTTTTCAAGGAGATTTTCCGAAAAACACGGTTCGCTTTAAAACGACATATCTCGTGAACAAATAGACTAAATCCAAATTTGAGAAATGCACCGTATGCCTCTTTGATGACGCAACAAATTATCATTCAATCATTTTTTCGTGCATCCATCGGAAACTGGAAAAACAAATGAAAACCCAAACATCAAAATTTGAAATCCTTTTAATTCAATATATATCGAAAACAAATGGAAAAATCGAAAATTATCAAGAGTGCAATGTTATCCACTGGAACATTCCCTACAAATCATTTTCCATAATTTTTTCTGTAAACCCAATAGTACAGGAAATAAAGTGAAAAATATGAAAAAAAAAATTTTAACGACCCATAGGGTACTATGAAGATATATTGAAAAACATAGATTATCGATAGATGAAGCTCATCTACCTCCACTGAGGCATGGAATATTTTTTCATTTTGTTGATTGGAAGATGGAACAAAAGTGTTGAAAATTTTATTCTCAGATAATTCCAAATATCTCGAAAACAACTGAAAATATCTGAAAATGTTATAGAACCAAAATTATTCCTTTTGATAAAATCCACAAAAAATCCTCATAACATTTTTTTCTGAATTTAATAGTTCGGGAGATACGATGAAAAAACTAAAAAATTTACAAGTTTCTAGATAATCACTTGCCAATAGAAAACGAAACAAGAAACAAAGAAAGTAAAAAAAAGGACACTCGACTGTCTTGATTTTTTTCCCATTAACTACGTACCGAGCTCACTCGACTGTCTTTTTTTTCGCCAATAAACTAGGTACGGGCTAAGTACGTAGTTTGTACGAAAAATCTCCAGTTTTCTGAACTTTCATAGCGTCGTATACACATCATTGGTGCCCAATGATAGTTTCAATATAAAAATATGCTCATGATATGGTGCCATGGCCTCAACTTCCATCTTACATGAGCAATGATAAAACATCATCTGCTTTTATAACGTCGTATAAATTATCTGACCTTTATACTAATCTGATACCTTTCAAAAACTACGTACCTCACTTGTTTTACTATGTTCGATAAACCAATTAGTCACTTCATAAAATCTCATCTCCCATGAAATTTCAAATTTTTAACAAAGACTCGCTGTTATCTGTAACAGCTGTAGAAAATGTAAAGTGTATAACTCGCACGAAATGCTGAATAATACCAGCGTATTTTGAGAATCTAACTACGCTACTGGATGTTTTTACTTTTTCGATAAGTTGAAAGATATGTGAGATGAAGGAGGGTCTAAAATGCAAATATCTCAATTTCGCCCTGTAACTCAAAAACAAAACAAGTTATGAAAATTGTGTTTGTGAGACGTGAGATTCACAAAAAGTAGCCAACGTTCGCGAAAACCTGCAAATCTCTATCTTTGAAAATAATCATCGAAAATGGGACAGCCTCTACATATGCGTAGACGGACATTTAGTATGGAAAATTTCGAGGAAAATTTGTTTTGAATATAGGTAAATTAACCGTGCAAGTTATACAATTGGAAGTGGACAGTAGATACCTGCCATTACCAATAATTGTTCGTTTTAAATTAACTAAAACATGAACCGTTGTATAGAGATTTGAAACGGAAATACCTTTTCCAAGGTGTAACTTGACCCCTTGTACAATTTAAAAATTATGAATGGGTTGATCTGTAGGGTGGGAGGTTGAGAGGTAGTTGAAATTTCGTATGTGAAATAATAAATTTTCAAAAATAAAAATCGACTTATCTTCGGATTTTCTAAAGTATATTTTTTGGTTATGGAGATACGGATTTTATTCCATCATGGGTTTCCACAATGTATAGCGTCCTAGTTATTTTGTTATTTACTCATAGGAAGCAAACTGTAACGTTGAATATTATATTTAGAATGATTATCTATCAATCATTCTTCTTGGTACACTATTTTAATAATGTAGTTATCGACATACTTAATCAGACAATGAATAATCGACTAATGTAGTTGTATCAAGATTGCTGGGAGGATCGTTGTTTTCATATTGATTCAAGTGATAAAAATAATAACTATACCACTATACCACAGGTCATTGCTTAATAGAAGTTTACCGGAGAGTTCACCTCACTTACCGAGACTAATTATTATCAGAAATTTATTAAGGAGAGTAGAAAAGCAGACTAGTAGTAGATATTTTTGTGTACCTAATAGCTATCTGCTAAATGAGTACTAATCGAGATTTCAATGTAACTATAATTTGGAGAGTCTTCCCACAAGTCCTCATTATATGCCATTATACCAATTCTGAGATGAAAGTTGAAATTCTACCAATTCTCCAATACAAGTCGACTTATAATTCAGACCTGATAAGTTTCTTACCAGTCATTACTTATTTGCTTTAAATAAAGGAGAATATAATATCTATTGATGTGAAAAATTAAATATAAGAAATATGAAGACATCAAAAATTATATTGAGAGAACATGGATTCAAAATAAATGTCTGCCTCAAGGTCTACCTCAAAGTCAACTCTTTATTGTTCTAAATAAAAAAACCAAGTAAATCCCCTACTATAGTAGTAGCAATATATCAATTTTACAAATTTTTTACAAATTCTCCCCCAAGTTGAATTCCGAGTTGAAATACAAAGATTTCTGAAGGAAGTTCACCAGAATTTACAAGAAAAATCCATTTCAGTTCACCACTTGAACAAGTATATGGATGCTGTGTATGATTAATTTGCATAATCCAACTGAATTTACCAAGGAATTGACTGAATTCAATACACTGATGTTTGAATCTTCAATTTCAATGTAGTGTTCATCCCAGAGTTCACCATCAGATAAATACTGTAGGACTATTGAATTGAATGGGCTTCTACTTGATGAAAATTCATTATAAAAATGAGGAAAAACTCACCTGAGTATTAGTTTTCACATATTATTCACTTTTGCAAAAGTGAATTTGTGAAAATTACTTGAAATTATTACTCAGGTGAGTTTTTCCTCACTGCAAGACTTAACTAATATTAAACAAAGGTATATGTCAAAAAACAATACCTACCTTTGACATTGTTATAATATATTGATAATAATTAATTGTTTATTTTATAACAAGATAATCCCCTTGAAATGTCAGAGTTTCACTGATCACTATAAATTTATAGGTGCAAGAATACTGAACAGAAAATATTTACATGGTAGTACCACTGAGCTATAACCCTGTAGAGCACAATTATAATTCTTTCATGTTAATTTTTTAATTTCACTTATGACTACCGCCACTAGTGGTTGGTGGACTACTTATGTGTTCAAAGTTCAAAATATCTTGTATTTGTTTTGGTTAAAGCAATATTATAGGATATGGTAAAATAACACCTTGGGTAAAACGGTAGAAAATCGAATAAATTTATCATCACAAAAGTACGTGTAGGCACGTAAAAGGTAGTATAGGTATTTTTTTTCATAAATTGCAACTTATCTGAAGGCTAGATAATAATAATGCAACCGAGAATGCATTGAATGCAACCAAACAAAGGCTTGATAAGATATACAAGATACAACTCACCTTCGTCATTGTTTTCATCAGCAATCAATAAATAATACAATATTAATGAACGTAGGAACAACCAAAACGAGAAAAGAGTGATGATTCTTTCATAATATCTTGATAGTCGATTTTGTCTGCCACATTTACACTGTTATATCATGTAAAGGAAATCACTCTACAGTAGACCCAATAAACAAATTATAATATTAAGTGGTTGTTTTTTCTCTCTTTTGATTATTCTATTTTTGAAATTCTGATACGTTATGTACATTCATATTATTTCTCATGAAATGAAATCAAATCAAATATCAAAACACCCCCACCACATATCTGCTATTACGACTGTCACTCACTGTGTCACTGATCCACTGATGTCATTGTCAATGTCATGTCAATGCATATATCTACTATTTCTATATATAGCGCATCGCCTATACGATATCTCAACAAAAATGTGACCAAAATGAAAAGTACTTTTTGAATCTATAAGGACGGAAAGTGGAGGATTAGAAATTCGAAATTAGAAGCCATTGCGTCGTTTCATTATTCCCTACGTCAGCATCAACGCCTATTGGTCGTTTTTTTGAGGATAGCTATGCTTCATATATTATGAGTAGTAGATATCTTCTTCTTCCGATTTTATTGGCCTTTGCTTCCATGTTCGTGCATTTGGCCATGAGACTCTAGCCATTTGGTGACTCTATAAACCAGTGTTGCCAACTGTGAGATCTTCATTTTTGAGAATTTTTTGGGTCTGTGAGGATTTGTGTGAGGATTTTCAATGTTCAGTCGAAATATTTGGAATGAATAGTACATTTGTCTACTCACAAATATCTTCACTTTCACTGAATTTTTCTGAATTCGGAATGAAAAAACAGCAGATCAGCAGACAGTACTGTTGTATTCGTTGAATTCCGAATATACCGGCATGTGAACTTGCATGTGAACCGTGAACCTTTGGATTGATTCGAATTTTGAATAGTGTACTTTAATGCCTAACCAAGACTTCATTCCATTGTATAAAAGAAAACGAAAGAAAATAATAAGAAGACGAAGAATAATAAAAAGAAAGGAAAGAGAAGAAGAATAGTCTTGCGTAATAATTTATAAATTTTTTTGACAGGTTGACGATTGTTGATTTTATTGTTATCTCAATCTGAAAGTTATCCATCCAGACAGGAATTCCTGTTAATGACCTTTTGAGATCAATTAGTATTCCACAACAATTTTAGGTTTACAAGTAATCGTAAGTAAAGTTTCTGTTCAATCTTGGTCATCTGAATAATTATTAATGGTGTTATTATTATTTGGGTTATGTGTTGTAAACAGTGAAATAACAGGATTTCTTTGCAGAAAATATGGCTGATCAGCAACAATTTTTCCTGAAATGGAATGACTTCCAGAGTAATATGGTTACATCTTTTCGGCATCTCAGAGATGAAAAAAGCTTCACTGATGTTACATTAGCTTGTGAGGGCCAAACTTGCAAAGCTCATAAAATGGTGTTATCAGCTTGTAGTCCTTATTTCAAAAGCTTGTTAGAGGTGAGTGAGGAGGAATATTTTCAAATGTTTATGGTAGCTACTCATTCAAATGTTCAGATGCTTCTGAGTAGTACCTAATTCATTCCACTTGATCTGACTTGATATATAGATTTCATTTTAATTTGGTTTTTGGCCTGAAATTAGAAATTTGATTATAATATTTCTAATGAGGAATGGTCTCTCTGATTGTGTATTGCATATTTCTTGTAAGTACTGGTTAGTTGAAAGCAACTATCACATTTTCATCATTATAAATCTTGGAAAATCGGAATGTAATAAAACTGAAAATTCATGATTCTAAATATGATTGGTTTATACTAAATCAAAACAGGACTTGGAACAGGAATTAATTTGTAAAATTATCAGCTTGAATGGGAATAGTAAATTATGTTTATCTAAGTCATGAATAGCTGGGTAAATAGCTCATGGCTGAGACAGTTATTGGAATAAATAATGTGAATTTGTGAATACTGATTATAAATAAATAAGATATAGGTAAGATGTAGGTGTAGTGATTATTAGTCTGTTGTTCTCAGTCAGAGTTATTGGTTGCAGAATATTTATTTTGAATAACTTTACTGTTTACTCTGAATGCAACAATTTTTGAAAATGAGAACTTCTCTACTCTAAACAATCTGAACTGACATTGAGAAAGGAACAACTGGTTGACAAATAACTCAAATAAAAAAGAATATCTTCATATATCTTCTTTGTTGATGTATGAAAGATCTCTTGGAAGACCTTGTAAGATACTATAGGTTCATAATTGTGGATTTGTTGATTTGCCTACAAGGCATTTTGAGCATAATTATTGCAAATTACATGATTTATTGTGAATATAAATTGGACCCTTGAGAGGATTTGGCAATTGGACACAACATATACTTCTTGAAAAATTTACAAATCCTGGAACAAATCTATAACTCAAAATGAATATAATAAACATCAAGATAATAATTATAGATGGTTTTCTGCAAATAACCTTTACTTGAATGTTGATAAAACAGTTTCCATTCGATTCCACAATCGTCAGAAAAGTTGTGACTTTATCACTTTCCAGGCAAAGGAAAATTCTGATCTCGTTATTACAGATAGTGTAAGCACCAAATTTTTGGGACTCTCTATCGACCAATGTTTGGGGTGGCATAACCATTGTGCACTATTAACAAAGAAATTGAACACAATATCATATCAATTGAGAAACTTGAAACAAGTTTTGAATATTGAACAATTGTTGACCTTGTATTACGCACAGATTGACTCTGGACTTAGGTATGGTTTATGTTTCTGGGGCCTATCTACACACTGGAAAGATGTTTTTATAGCTCAAAAAAGAATAGTACGAATAATGGTAGGTGTTCCTATGAGAGAATCCTGCAGAAATATATTCATCAACTATAAAATTTTAACATTACCTTGTCTTTTAATATTTGAATATTGTGTATTTGTTTTCAAAAATTATGATGAATATTTTGTTCTCAACAAATCCAAACATAATGTGAATACCCGGCAAAAAATGATGTATATGTCCCATTTGGTAAATGTAAATTAGCATACAATTCTCCTAATCTCATGGCCCCACGAATTTTCAACTTACTGCCAATCAACATAAAAAACTGTGAAACATTGGTTGTATTTAAAAGAAGATTGAAAGAGTTTCTGTTACATAACTGTTTTTATAGTGTAGATGAGTATATATGTCCCTTTAGTTTGTAAGACCTATTGACGATTCCTATACAATATGAAATGTAATTGTCTAAAAAGGAAAATAAAGTTTATCTATCTATCTATCTATCTATTTCATTCCAAACTCTATGAAATATTCTTATTTTTATAGGAAAATCCATCCAAACATCCCATTATAATCCTGAAAGATGTAGCATACAGTCATTTGCAAGCAATATTGGAGTTTATGTATGCTGGAGAAGTGAATGTGAGCCAGGAACAGCTACCAGCCTTCTTGAAGACAGCTGACAGACTCAAAGTTAAAGGATTAGCGGAAGCTCCACAGGCTATTAAAAGAGAGTAAATTTGTGCATTTTTTATATTGTCTGGATAATATTTTACTCATCACCTGGTCTGAATTCTGATGAAATTTCTTTTAATTCATAAAACATGAACCCAATGGGGAAGTTACACATCCCAGAAATCGTGAATAAAGAGGAATGAAATGAAAATAATAAACATAGATAATATGCCCTAAGCAATTCACAAGGAATGAGTTATGTGCACAAGCTCAGAACAATCAATGGTGTAACATTGGATTCTTGTTATATGACAAATAATATGTTTATAATACTAAATACAATTTCATCAAAATTGATCCAGCACAAAAAGTTGAATATTACCATTCCCTGTGTATAGAGTGGCAGTTTTTTTCAAGACTTAATTGGATTAATTTTCAATTAATTATTTTTAACTAGAAAAGTTCATGTGATTGGTGCTGATTTCTAATCACAATAATAGTATATAAAAATCCCATGAAACATTGAAACATGTGCCTTGTGTAGAATGAAAATTCTATGCACAATACCATATTCAGTATGAAAATATGACTTCTGGCTGATTATTCAGTGAGTAGATACATGATTAATTTGTTGAAAACAACCCCCTACCTCCAAGGATTCATCAAATGTACCCAACTTTTTTTTATTTTTCACACAGTGATTGAGTCTCAAGTGTTCAACATTGTATGGTATGTTTCATATAAAAAAGTAAAAATTTGTGTTGCTTTGATATATTTTTTGACTGGTTTGATAACTTGTAGATGTCACCTGCCTAAACTCTCCAATTGTTACAACAAACTGCTTCATGGCTTTTCAGAAGTACTGAAAAATATAAGTCTGCAATTTGTAAGAAAGAAGTTGGGATGGTTTCTAAGGGGATGTTCTGATGACTTTTGTTCTAAAACATGCCTTTTTCAATTTCCATTTTTCAGGATCATGATGTTTTGCAATTGTTTCCAAGAAAATGATTGTTTAAATATAGTTGAAACACTCTGTATTTGGGGTAGGCCATAGAGGTTTTGGCTTATCAATCATTGATATTTTCATGAATCTATAGTTTTTCATTATCTATCTAGTGGATAATTTTTTCATTGAGTACCTCTTATTATCATATAATTGGGAAAGAGAACATTGCACATGTTAAAATATATGACAAAAAATAATCAAAATCTTATAATATGAACATCTTTCTATAAAGAAAATTTCAACCTCTATGCCACATCATAATATTGTGAAATGGCCTTCAATATTAACCAATAAAAGCAAAGGTCAATGCTTCCCTATGATTTCCAATGTTGTCTTTTAGTTGGAATGGACTATAGAAGTGGGCTAAAATAACAATTAATAATCAACAGAAATTTCGAAAATTATCAAAGTTATCAATAGTAATGATATTATGGATAACTGGATAACATTTCATCTAAATTATTATAGATATATTGATAAATTTGCCCACCCCTACTCTGTACATCAGAGTGTTTCTTTAGTTTGCAGGAAACAATGAGGTTAGGGTGAGGGTGGCTTATTTTGGATCGCCTAATATTTATTTCAAATGCAAATTGACCCAGACTAGGTATACAGGTTGTTTTCATTCTATCTTTCAATTTTGTTCATCCTCTTGTTTTCACAATGAAGAGAGTGAATCTGATAAGCCATAGAACACATAAATATCAGCAGGATACTTTTCTATTTATTATCTGATAAAATACTCCAGACTTATAAAAATATTATAATACTGGGAAAATTTATTGGTGAATTATATTTGCCTACATTGATGAATTTGAATTTATGAATATAAAACACAGGGAACAATAACTTTTTGTGTAATGAACATAAAAAAAATTCGTTATTCAGAATCTATTATCAGATAAATTATGATTGTTATACCAGGTCAGTTATACTTATACTCATTCCACCACTGATACGAATTCATTCTTCAATTTTTCAGGTTATGAGAGTATAATAATCGAAGATAATAACAACAATTATGTCTTGGTTTCGTAAATATTTAGTATATTTCCATATTTGCTGATATTTTGTCGGACAATTACCTAATGAAAAAAATGAAAATAATATTTTATCAAGGAATAACTGATATTGTGCCAGAAACTTTCTCAACAAGTTCCTATAGTATTTCTCCTGTAGATTCATAATATGACCTCACATTTTTGATAATTATTATATTATTATTCTCACAACAACTCAAGATGGGGAAAAATAGTATTCCGGTCCTGATATTGGTTTCATTCAGGAGGCTACTTGTTGAACCATTCAGGTTTAATTAATGTACCAAATTTGAACCTTATGGGGTTCTCCATGTATTTAATATGGCAGATTGAGTCTTTTGTCAAAATCCATAAATCACTGTATGCCAGTAACGAAGCGGTTTTGGACTTTTGTATATGGCATTTTGGCATTTTGAAATCGTATTGGCAGTCCCTATAACCCCATAAGTTTCGTCGGTTTCATCTCTGGACATGAGGTCTATGTGGTGAAGTTATCTTTCCGTCCTATATCATTTTACTCTTAGATTAGTAATTTCTAGTAATTTGTGATACAAGATATTATAACCATGTAGACGTGACCTCATAATAATTCTCAATGATCTCTGAAGTACAAAATTTGTATTGAATTTGAACATATGAAATGCAACCAAATTAGCTCCACACATAGTAAACGTTTTTCTCGTTTAGACCTAATGATTTCAAAATAAAATTAAACTGAAACTCAACACACAAGGAAATTTTCTTCTCTGAAAATTCTTGATTTCTGAACTATACCTTCATAATAGTCTCTAACCAGTATTTTTTGTACGATATGTATAGTTGTCGGATGCATGTTAGGTATATATTTGTATACAGGGTTAGGAACAAGTATGGAATCAGACGAATATCTGGGTAATCGTTTTGTCAGACCTAGGTTTGACGTGGTCTTTACGGTACACCCTGTATGGAGAGGATGATAATTGTTACATTTTTTCACTTCTTGGTCACTTCCGATTTCAGCGGAACACCCTGTATACTGTAATATTTTTGAATTTCTGAGACAATTCTGGATCTGAATATGACATTTTCAAAAGTTCAAATGCCTACTAATTTTTTTACAGTTAATTCAATATTGCACAAAGTTAGGGAACTTTTACTTCATGCTCATCTTCTGTCACTGTCATAACTTAAGTGAGTGATTTGTTTTCCAAAGAAGACTTGATGAGAATAACTGCACAATTTTATGCATCATGGCTATTTGGCTATCCATGGCAAACTTGACAAAGGGAAATAAATATATTATTATCAAATATTTTCCTTAGTAATATTCAATTTAAGTTCTTATTATAGTTCAACCCCAAAAAAGACTATCGTTAGATTCGAAAAGTGCTTGTCAAACATTTTCGCCATTTGAAAAATAATAGTTTGCCACGAAAATGTATTGTTGCCAACTTGTATTATTTCTTTCTATGGTATTAGTCACTGAAACTTTGCCCTTGTAATTTTCTGACATCTGAGGTCCTTAGATTAATTTACGTCCGATCATGGCCATCTAGATGCAATATTAATAGTCACTGGAAAGAAATGAAGTAGGCGTTAAAACTTATGAAAATATCACATTCTGATCCAGAATTGTCTCAGAAATTCAAAAATGTTACAATATGTACAGGGTGTTCCATTTACAAATTCAAAATAGGAGTCATTTTCGTTGAATCCGGAAGCGACCGGAAAGTGGAAAATATGCGAAAACTCTCCTCACACGCAATTTACCCATACCAAATCACATTTTGAAACATCTGATATTCTAGAAGTTATGACACGCGGTATATCCTTCAAAATGATGTCAGTCAGAATTTACTAATTGTTCAGTTTGGCTTAGCAACCAGAAAATCCAATTCACTGTCATAAAAATAGATGTAAAAACAATTAAATAGTTAGGGAGTACAAAAATATATATTATCCCCACTATAATTTGGCATCCCTAGACTTCTTTTATTCAATATTATTCATTCAACCGTTTTAACTGATGAAATCCAGATCAAACACATGAGCTTTTCACAGAACTGCATAGGATATTCTAGTATAAAGACTTGGAGATGTTCTCAAATTTACTCACATTACTGACAAACTAATATTGTAGCAACTGAAATCAGTAAACTAAAACAAAAAAATTAACCAAGGATACATTCCGAAAATATTTTTGACTGAAATTATTTCATTGGGATATTTTAATTTTATATGGAAATTCTCAATGACATTCTATTTTGAATTTCATGTTATTCCGATTGTTTAATCATTTCGCTATAGCCGTAGAAAAAAGTATAATTTATTAATTTGTAGCATGACCGTACGCGAAACTTCATACTCGTGAGAAATATAAACTATACAGTAATTCCATTTAATAATGAAATAACATTATTTAACGATAACAGTACTGTTAGCAGATTTAATAACATCTCTTTCATTAACAGAATTTGTTCCTTTGGGGTTGAAAGGGTTTGTGTGAAGATTATTTACTATAAATAAATATTTAGTTACACTGACTAGCTTGAATATATGAATATTTATTGATACATTGTATGATATCTAGATCATATTTCAATTTCGATGAAATCAATAAGGACTGTAAGAATATATTTCTACAAATAGGAATTATTCTTGGAGTATGTCCCCACGGAGTTTTCAATCTATTTATATATTTTTCAGCGTCTGCATTTGTATATTTTTAGATCGTATATCACTTAAGTGGGGCTTACTGTTGATAGCTGTAATTTTTTGTGAATTTTTTATATTCTGTTTTATAGATTTCTATGAAGAGTAAGTATAATTGGGTTTTATTTCTCAGTTACTATGTAGAAAAAAATAACAATATTTTTTATTTTTATAGAATTGAAGTAGATTTTCGATTGACTCTATTTACCACATTGTTACCATTTCACATACCCATACTAAGTAGATTGGTTTGTTGTCTTGAAATTGAAATCAATGGAAAAAGTGTGTTCGAGGTTTTTGATATCAAATGTGCATATTTTTTTTTGAAAATATATATTGAGTACATATACAATGAAATATTTTAATGAATTGTTGAATAACATGCATCTAAGATCTATCACAAAAAACAATAGGTATTCACGAAATATTCGAGTTTCAATTATTTAGTATGTTAGATACTTGGGGAACATATTCTTCAATAAGGTGATCCCAAAAGTCGATAAATTTCTTCCTATAATTTTGACGGATCTCCAAGTTTTTTCCTATTTCTAAGTATGGTATTGTTGATTCATTTGTTACCACTGGCCAAGTAACATTTTCCAAAACCGGGTCAGGTACTGGTGTTGGATTCCTATATAACAAATAAGTATATTCTATAACAAGTATTGGAATGCCTATGTTACATCAAACAAGCGAAAATTTTGAAACCTTTACCCTGATAGCACAATATCATTCATAGGATATTCTTCGAAAATATTTGAATATTCTCATATTCTCTCCCCATCGCTATAGGCCTATTATGAAAATTGCTTTGTTATTACTTTTAGTCTGGAGAATATACCATCATCAAATTAGTTACTATTGATTATATTGTCAGAAAATTAGATGGATGGTAAAAAAATCATTTTCAAATCCAATTTTGTCATGTTGGTATTTCAGCTACTTTTTGGTCGTTTGGAGCGCACGAAAGCGAATCCCTATAATGTTCGAAAAACATCGTGCATGCCTATATAGGGAGGATAGGGATAAGAGGTAGGTATTGGGTTTTTTGAACTTTTGGAGATTATAAGTTCTTGGAAATACTTCCTCAGGCAATGAATTCCATCAGAGCTTTGTCATTCTATGGAGGAAAGAGTTTTGATAAAGTGCTCTTCGACATATTTCGAAGTTGACAACGAATGGATGTGCTGACTGGGCTTGTCGAGTTCGTCTGACTGGTATTGCTAGTGGTAGAATGATAGCTTCAGAGATTACTGAAGAACATTTCCCGTGGAGAAGTTGAAGGTCGCCGACAAAAGTGAAATATCGCGTTATTATTACTGAATCGAATAGGATATCTAGTTTTTTGAAGAAAATTTGATTCCTTCAACAAACAATATAGTAATGGTGCGTTGACCAGAGATAGCAAAATGTCTTTCATAGGATATTCTCCGAGATTATTCGAATATTTTGAAAGAATATTCTGAGAATTTGTCAAATTGAATGTTCATATAGAATATTTGTTGCAGGATGAAAATATTCTTATCATGATTATTCTGAGATCAATCTATCAAAGTAGTCTGAAACAAGTATATTTTTAACGCTGTCAGAATATTCGAAATTTTCCTCACATTTTCACTAAATTTAAAAAAAAAACAACGAATTTTAGGAAAAATCTAAAATTTGTCAAAAACTTCATTCATTTGGAAATTTTAATACGCTAGACCAACCCAGTTACGATATTTTACCTCAATATAATGCCACTGAGAAGTGTCAAACTATAAGAACACAACTCCCAAAGAGAAATATGTTTGCATTTTCATGTTGAGAACGGGAGCAGATTCGTTCTGGAAACGTCCGAAGATAAGTAAAAATATTATTTTTTCAATATACAGTGCAGACTCGATAATCCGAACGTTCAATAATCCGAATTCTTCAGTAGTCCGAACAAGCATTTTCAATACATTGAGTACTCTATAATTCGAATTTCATAGTACTCGATATTCGATAATCCGAACCTACACCTTTAGGCCTATTTATTTCCTATAGAAATTGTGAGTGAAATGTTCAGGAATTCCCCTAATTGTTCTTTTGTTAGTATCTGGGATTCACATATATTACGCAAGGAAGAAAATAATATTCCGTTAAATTATATTCTTGTACTTCAAAGATTGAAAGAAATGGCCTTTATAAATAATCAAAGATGTGTTAAGCAAACAAAAATTACAAATTACTTTAGAAACTAGTATTATATTCTTACTTTTATGCATATTTTAGTGTTACTTTTTCGTATTTATGTTTTTTTTGCATTTCGTAATAAAAAATTAAAAAAAAAACTGCTTCAGTAATCCGAATTTTTTGGTAATCCGAATCGCCTTTTGGTTTTTATTAGTTCGGATTATCGAGCCTGCACTGTATCTACATTTCTCTTCTTCAAACATTTTTTCAAACAAAGTGTCAATGACTATATTGGATTCGTCTTTTAGGCTCCCTGATAAAAAAATGTGTTGAATGCAGTAACATTTTGGGAAAAATCATCTGATTTGTCCTACTACACATATTGAAATAATATTGTTACGTTATTCGGGTGCAGAAGCGAACACGACACTATTTATTTTCGAACTGATTTATTTGAACTAAAGAAACACTAATTTATATCGAACTTATAACTACTATTTATGTAAAACGATTTATATCACGCGGTATATATAACTGTCTCTCTGACACTCGCTGCTCGACTGACTGACGGCAGTTGTCCGGCCGTTTATGTATGAGATCCCTTGGTAGGCTTTGGTTCGAGAACGTTCTCGAATGATCTTCCGTCTCCGTCTTTTTGTTCTATATAGAAGGAGCTTAGAATAATACCTCTCTCTCTAATTGTTTCATCGATTGTTTCCAGATCATTCCAGAATCTTCTGTCACGTTATTTGTCACCGCGGCATATATTGAGTGTTCGGAAATATGCTGGTGCATGTAGGAATCATTGGGAGGTTGGAGAACAATCTGGGATGCGTGTTACAGGATGATCGTTGTACTCCTGCCTTCCTGCTGATGTTTCTAGAGCCCCTCTATAAGGGGAATATCATTACAATATTTATATTCATATTTTGATTTTATAGAAACGAGGAGAGAAAATCCCAAATAATCAAGTAAAATGGAGAAAAGGAGCAATCAAGTCTGAATTTTTCTTTGCAAAAATCATGTACCTACTATCATTTCAAAAAAATATGCTCTAATGGGTTTGTTTTTTTGAGGACATGACATTACATATCAATATCATTTGTACTTAATCGAAAGTGAGTGCATAGATGAACGATTAATATTTACCCATATTCTGCAAAATTCGACCACAATTTGACTAGACGTCTTCTCATTGGAACGTCTTCTGATGGTAGTGATGTATCTACAGATTTCCAAATATATCCTAAATCTTCCCCATGGCAAACCCCTGGAAATTATGGGCATCAAATCATTCTAGGAATGAAATAGTCCCCAAAACACGTGTACCGCTAAGAAATGACGCCGGCTCTGGAAATTATTTTCAAGTTTCCAGGATGGCCGCTAGGGGGCGTAATATCATTGGCCAATTCAACAAACGGGATATTGTGAGAATTCGGTAGGTTTATCAAGAACTGTCATAATACTTTTTTTATAATCTCGATTTGATTTCCATTCATGTCGATAAAATAAATTGCGCTAGCTCTTCAAATAAAAGAAGAAGGGGAGGATGAATAGTGCTATCTGGTGCTATGAAAAAACTCTTATTATTACTACAGTTTGGTGTAACGGAACTCTACGAACTTATGGTCTCATTATGAAAGGTTTCTTCAGTTCTTTCAGATGAATTACGAATCGAGTCGATTTATATCCTGTGGTGGCCGCTAGATGGCACTTTTTATAAAGAATCTGTCAATTTTTTTCTCGACAATTCCAAATGAAACCATACTTTTTTCTCACTCTTATAACGAACCTCTTACTTCAACAGATGTTGCCAAAATCTTCGTCATAATGGATAATACCTGAGGTACAACAAACCTGTGCAGGCTTTTCCACAACGTTATTCATACCAAAAAGCCATCCTATTTTTATAACAAAACTATACCTACCGCACTGATGTGCATAACTTGAACTTGCGATATGGAGGTAATCTCTTATGTTTACCCCAGCCATTGTCGATCTAAATGAAAACCTAGTAAGCGACCTAGTGCGAGGAGGTATAATATATAGCTCTTGCTTACTATATATACCTAAAAATGTCCTTTGATATACTTACTGAGTCGCTCACTCATGATTTGTAATCTCAACTTATTTTATTTTGTCAAATGTGAGCTTATCTTAACTGTTTTTGGCACCTTCATCCATGAATGATTTAATGATTCATTTTTATTATATTTTATTTTAGTTATTATCCCATTTATATATTATATATTTTATCATTATGTCATTATGTCTGTCTGACTACTATGTGTATTCGTTTTTTATAAGTATTTGTTCTTTATAGGTATTTGTGCTAGAAAGATGAATATTTGACTTGCACTAAACATTTACATATGTAACAGTGTTAAATAAAGCCTAATAAAGCCCATCATTCAGTTACATCTATGGTTACATGATTGCTCGCGTGTACAATTATAGGATTTCCGATCTGACGAAAATAAGGAGTTTGAAAATATTCAAAGAACTATTGAAAAGAAAACTTCTCCCAAAATATATCAATATGTAACTGTTTTCTACCTACCTCGGCAATACGAAATCATTTTCATTTTCATTCCAATATAATCATTTTTATATGATAAGTAATTATATAATTAGTCTTCAAGTTAGTGGACTAGAGTATATAGAGTCCAATCATAAGTTTATTTCTTTTACAGGTTGAGTGATGTGAGAGAGTGTACATCTTCTAACTGTGTTAGGAGGCAAAGCGCTAACTCTGCCTTTTATTCAAATAATTGCATGTACCGAGTTAACTAGATTGGCAATGAAATCTTTTATTATAATAATATTATTATTATTATTATTATCATTACATGAAAGTAGAGCAAACGAGAAGGAGAATGGTGAAAACCACAAGTTGATAGGTATACATCTTGTGGAACCGGAGATATAATCGAAATATTTTTAGATTCTCTCTGAAGAGCTGATTTTATCGATACATCAAACTAGGGGTCTATCAGAAATGATTAAAGATATATATAGCTCCTCAGGGAGAATCTAAAAATGCGATGAAAATATGGTGTTCCATTTGAAATATCAATGATGCTACTACTTTCTAGTCGAAACGGTAACACTGCATTGTGGAAAATATTCCAAATGAAGAGAGCGTATTCTGAAATATGTGAGCATGCACATCTTCAAAAATTTCTCGCGACTGATTCTCGATATAAAGATAATGTAAGCTACCCTGTATGTTCAATTAATCTCTCGGTGGAAATGTTTATCTCTATTTCCTGCGTGATCACCTATATCTCTTCTGCTAGGAGGTGTAGACTCCGAAACAAGAATGAATATGTTTTCCAGCATGATGGATACCCGGACTATTAACGTGCGGAATTATTTAGATATAAGATATCCTGGCATGTGGATAGGAAGTGGTAGCATGTTTGAGTGGCCAGCTAGGTCTCCAGATCTGATTTGTTCAGATGTTTATTAATGGGGAAGAATGAAAGATATGGTTTTTGAAACCCGACCAACAACTAGGGAAAAAGCATATTATACCAATGGCCGAAGTGGAAGCTGCAGATCTATCCACTCGATAGAGACTCAATTCGTGTATAGAAAATGATGGAAGACAGTTGGTGCATCTAGGAAAAAACAAACAAGAATGGAAATTTTTCTGATTTTACAAAAGGTGCCATCCAATCCAGCGGCCACCACGGGATTCAAATCGACTCGATTCGTGATTTATCTGGAAGAACTGAAAAAACCTTTCATGATGAGAAAAAAATTCGTTGAAATCCGTTACACCAAACTGTAACATATCATGTATTCATATCCTTCCTTCCTTTTATTTGAAGAGTGCACTTTTTTAGATCGACATTATTGGAAATCAACTAAATTCTCACAAAATCCCGTTTTTAGCTGCCGTCCTGAAAACGTGCATTATGAATATTTTTTTCCGAAATCTGTGCAGCGAATCATTTTAGAGCCGGCGTCCTTTCTCAGTGGACTTCTTCATTATGTAAGTGTGGAAATGAAAGCGATATCCATAAGACGCGTTCAAACACTCTGACTCACCATTTATCGACACATCTATTGCATATCCTTGGTTTCTCAAATATTCCTTCACGCGTTTTCCTTCATACACAAAAACGTAAGAGTATACTGGCATGTGCTTACACATCATCCTCACAGTATTGGTTATTGGTCTTGTATACAGTAAATCGGTGATCAACTGAAAAGGATAGGTAATATTTATATTATAAGCTACATTAGGGAAGTTTCTTTTATTCTTTTTGATGAATATTCATCAAATTTGTTTTCCTCTTATTAGCTTCAAGGTATCGCAACGTATAGTGCCCCGCAAATTTTTGCTCAGATTTGTAATATTATAACTTTCAAAAAATTAACCGATTTCAATCGGTTTTCAGATTTCAGAATCATGAATTATTCGAAACACGAAAAAATTATAGAATAAATATTTTACAGGGTGATGAATTGCACACCATATCATTTTCAAATTCTCCAATCTTCGTTTTGGACAGAAAATGAATAGGAAATTTCGAGTTTGAACTGGGAATACTGTGGGATACAAAAAATTTCATTTGCTATGAGCTACGAGTACAGAGAAATAACATAGGTATATTTTATGTTGTGAATTATACATAGGAGCAATTTTCCAATAATCGTGTTGACTATGATATATAGATTATACACAGCGTGAGTCAAAAATGTGTACCGAGCTTCCTGGAGGTGACAGTACAGTGAAATATAAGTATTGAATACTTTGATTTATCTTACGAAGTACCTCACGTGAATATTAGGACATGTACACCAGCAAAATACCCGTTACCGAAGCCAAAAGTGGTCATACGCCAACAAAAAATGACGTTTGTTGATTGTGCGACTTTACGACTGAGCATTTGCATTTCATGAAATGGCGTATCTCGATCGATACACAATGAAGCATTTTGTATATTTCTGCTATATATTATAATCTATAATCACATATAGGTATGTTGCATATCATAAGTTGTATATAGCTTTATGTATTTGTTTATTGTAGTTAGCTTATGTTATTTCCAAACTCAATGAAGTATCAATCAATCAATATGTAACGTTGCACTGATATTGTTGTGGATATATTCTATGTTATGTAGCAATGATAAGGAAAATATTTATTTGTTACAATATTGCTATCTGAACTGAAATGAATGGGTCACTTTGTATATAACTTACAAACAATTTGTTAGTAGGTTTTTCTGATAAATTGTTAACACGTATATAGCACCAGGACTGATACAATATTGTATTTTTATATTACGGAAGGAAGCTCTACATCATATTGTAGCAATATTTTGTAACATTACATGTTTATATAGTGGAACAACTAACACGACATCTGTAAAGAAGTCAACAAACGAAAATTATTTTTCTAGCTAGACAAAAATTGTAATGAAGAAATAGAATGTGAACGAGTTCGATGCAAAATATTGCTTCTTGATTTTTTCGCCAATAACTCGTCTTTCTTGCATCGAATCTACATCCAAAAGATTCGGAATTGAACTTGGACTGATATCCCATAGAAGGAGAACCGGCCCAAAAAAAGAAAGAACTAGAAAAATATCTTATTATTGACTGACAAAATACTTATTTGTTGGTAGGTTATCAGGAATCGATATAGATCTCGTTGATATACTACGATCTCTTTCTTTAGTCATGTGCTCTAAGACAGTCCATTATCAAGATAATGGATGTTTGAGTTTCTCATTTTTATTCAATGAGAATCTTGCATGAATATTGCAATACTGTATACAGGATGATAATTTGAAAACAGCAGCACTCAATATTTCTTCAATTGATGACATAATGAAAATTTGGCGAAATACGTCAATTTATATAATATATCAAGGGTTAAAACTTTCGAGGTATTTGTTGTAACATCACCCTCACCTCCTCCATCGTCAGGGCCAGTATCCCTAAATTTTCAAATGGCAATCCCCAATTATTTCGCAAACGCAGAAATCGCTTGCAAACTAAGTGTCAAATTTGATTCTAATAAAACAATGTACTATTTTTGATATAGCTGAAAAGCCAATAACGATTTTGAAAACTTTCAATTGCCGTTTGGTATGACCCTCTGAATACGTAACTTTTTTCCCATTTTACGAATTCCTATCTCCTCCCGCTTCTGCGATCCCCATGCTGTCCAATTTTAGTTCAAAAAGCGTCAAGTTGACTCTAAAATATATCAATTATTGTATTTCAAATTAGTCAATTCAATTCCAAAAAGAATCAAATCTATTCCATGATAAGTATCAAATGTATTTCAGATGCCAAAATATTCATTTGTATTTCCAAAAATATAATATATCACTTAAATTTCGAAACTGAAAAAGCACATACAATAAAGGTTAGATGGGTGTCAGATGATATTTCCATTCACCATGATGATGGTGTCATTTCGTCGCTTATCTGGTGGCCTAAGACTGATCAGAGCTCTCAAAACTCCAGAGATTAGCTTGTCTGCATCACAGGTGCAATGGGCAGCACTCCATCAAGCGAGGATGGGGGCACTGGCACGCTAGAGGGACTCCCTGGGACATACCAAAATAATCAGCCTATAGTCTCACGCCCACTAATGGAAATGGGAAGTGACAAAATGCTGCCCAGTAATAATTATTACATACCCTTCAGCACTTGGCTCTACTGGGATGAAATGGTCTTGACTGTCAGGAAGGTACAGCGTGACCATTCTAGCTTGGCCTCTGAGAATTGGATGCGCAGTAAACCAGTCGACGGAGTGAGGCGGGAGCTCATTATTGTCGAGGAATTGGTTCAGTGAACATCGGTTAGAACAGTTCAGTACGATTGTTCTTCCCAATAAGAATGCGTCGTGGATCTTTGTCGCACACTAACAATCTCTGTTTATCGTTTCCGCACCTCAGGGGCCAAGCTCTAGAATGGTCAAGGTGTATGCCGGAATATATTGAGACAGACCCAGAACTAGGGTTTGTGCTTCCTTGAGGTGGTATGCTAGCTTCAGTATTCCAGGCAGAGGTGCATGCTATTGACGCTGAGAGAGAATTTCGTGAGAGGATACAGAGGCAAACAAATCCTTATTATATGCTCAGATAGTCAGGCGACCATATACAATCAGATCCAGACTGGTCTAGGATTCAAAGTCTGCTAATCCTGGCTTACCTCAATAAGGTAACGCTTCAATGGGTGCCAGGGCATAAGGGAATTTGAGGCAATACAGCTGATGCTCTTGCTGGGTCTGAGTCTGCAGCGTTGTTTATTGGACCGCAACCTGTGTTCGGAGTCCCCGCGAAACCTCAATTGCGTAGCTGGATTGCAAGGTGGATGCAAGAAAGTCATCAGGCATACTGGAAAAACGTTCCAGGACAAAGACACAGCGAACTAATGGTTGGAACACTGTCTAGAACAGTGATTAACGACATCCTGAGCCTAAACAGGAGTTCGATCAGACAAGTGACGGGACTAATTATCGGTCACTGCCCCTTGAGGAAGCATATGCATCAAATGGGCATCTATACAGACGAACCCATGCAATGAGGAGGAGGAAACGGCCACCCATGTAATATTGGAGTTCGAGGCACTAGCGCTTTGGAACCTTCTGTGAGCATGATCAGGAATACAATAGGCCCAACAGCTGCTGTGTTTTAGCCTTCGAACCCTGACTGCTATAAATCAATCAATCAATGATGTCATCATTTCTTGAATACTGTAATTATTTGATTCGAGAATGAATTTGAAAGGCAATAATAATTATTGTGCTCTCTGCCCATCTCGATGTTGAGAGATAACGTGTTCAAAGTTGTTCCTTTCAATCTCTCTTTTCATGTTGCTTGTTTCGATACATTTGATATTTTAGGAATACAGACGACTAATTTGGAATTTCAAGTGTTAGTTTTTGAAATTGATTTGACAATTTTGATATACATTTGATTCTTTTAGATATTGAATTGTCTAATTTGAAAAACAAATGATGTTTAACGAAATCCAAATCACTATTACTATTTTTGAACTAAAATTGTGGAAAAGGTGTAGACTGCTAAGTCGGCATATATTTGAATGGGTAATAATTTCATGTTTGACAAACTCATGAATGTTGAGACTCACCAAAAACATGAGAAACAAGAATAATTGGAGAAGTAAGAAGTCAAGCCCTACTTTCGGAGGTGAAAAAGAAACTGAAAGTAAATGTATTTTCTGTATAACTCCGAACACAAGTTCAGTTGTCTAATTCAGTTGGAAGAACAAAATTCTGAGCTCAAACGCACAAACTTCTAAGTAGTCGGAAAATAAGACAAAACTTCGAAGTGTCTAATTGATAAATCAAAAGGTACACACCATTTGAAAATAATGCGAATTCCATGTTGGTATATCCGATCATTAAAGGTACTTTCCCAAAATCTCCATTCGTCATCAATTCTATCGATGAATGAGTTATGAAAGACTCTTTGTTGTTTGGTTCAATAACTGGAGCGAAGATCAAACCATTCTCCACAACATCAATACCATTCTGAAAAATAATTTGACTAGGATCAACAACAACAAGTTAGGTGAAAAACAAAGTCGGTTATGGCATAAAGATATCCTGCTTCCGATGTTGAATAAAACATGGATCATTTGAAAAACAAGCCTAAACCAGGAGCCAGGAGTACAATTTGTCGCCTCATGAAAGTTATGTTTCATTCCGCTTTGAAATGGGAGCCGTGCATCTGCTGGCTAAGAGTGATCGCTTATAATAACGCTACGATTTTCGAAAAAGTGTCAAAATCGACCTAGAAGCGCATCACTTTTACCCGGATGAAAATATCGTCAAAGTGATTGGAATTACGCAGTGAATCAAGAACCTAAGCGTCTGACGGTAGATGCGGTCGCATTTTCAAAGCAGAACAGGTAGCCGTGCGGACAGAGTGTCATTATTCTAATCCGCTTTCGCTTGCCGGTCGTGGGTTCAATTGCCCGCGACTGCAGACATTTTTCTGATAATGGCCCAGGAAAGTGTTTGGGATCACACGTTAAAAGGTAAGGCCCCCGTCATTCTTTGCTCGCACAAGTCTCTCGAAGGCTTCTGAGGGTTGCTCGTAAGGGGGCAACCGAATGACGGATAGAACAATTTTAGAACACCAAAAATTTTTTTAGACGGCGTTCAAACGAGTCAAGAAACGCCGGCCATTTCCTCATAAGTTACCACCTGGATTTTTTCTGTAGAAAATCAGTTTATTATACACTTGATTGAAAAATATTAGAGGAAAAATCACCCAAGATCTATAATGGTTATGATAAGACGAGCGAAAAACGAATACAATAGAACAGAGATATCATACCTATCTGCTTTATAGATCTGGAGAAAGCTCTTGATAGAATAAAACGAGAAGACATATGGGAACCGCTAATGAAGAAAGGAATAGATTGCAGAATAATAGAAATGATTGAGGATTTGTACATATACAATAAGAATATAGTAAGAACAAACAACGAAGATTCGAGAGAATTTATAACAAATAGTGTAAAACAAAGATGTGTGCGTGTCCATTATTGTTCTCGATCGTATCAAATGAAGCCTTGAAAGAAGAAGAGAAGAAGATGGAAACAATTATATCAGGATTCTGACAAATGCTACAAATTGGAATTAATGAGCTGATGTTTGCAGATGATAAGGCCATAGTTGCAGATCGAGAGAAAAACCGTCATGACAACCTAAATATTTCAAATGGAGAAATGACAAAAATAAACATGAATATCAAAATAAACAATACAAATAGCATAATATTATACAAAACAAACGATGGACATAGCAGACACTTGAATGGTAACCAAATTGAACAAGTGAAAAGCTTTGAATGTCTGGGTTCAGTAAAAGACAAAAATGAAACAGTAAAAATGTTTAACCAAATTAGAGAGGAAGCTGAAAGAAAAGGCATAATATCGGAAGAAATTGAAGAACTGAAACAATATATTAACATATTGAGAGAGAAATAGATAAGACAGTCAGAACTCGATATGCCTGACACCTCATGGTATAGAGGAATTTCGAGTAAGTAAACAAGTACAATAACATACCGCAATGATCACCATGAGAAAAGCATTCTGCAGATTCTCCAAACCCTCCATTCTCATCCTTCCCACCAATTCAGTGGAATTATCGGTCTCTATTCCCAGGCTCAACCCTATATCGAACGCGATTTTCCTAGGAAACTTCTGGCCACACCAGAGGGAGGTGGTATCGCCACTCATGGCTATGGCGCGGCTGAAGAGACCCCTGCTTTTCGGCGCCAAAACGTGGTGTATGACGCTGCAAGCTCCGGCACTGTGGCCTCCAATAGTAATTCGGTCCGGATCGCCTCCGAATTTTTCGATATTGTTTTTTACCCACCTGAGAGCCATGTTTTGATCCTTCAGGCCCGCGTTACCAGGGCTGGCTTCATCTTCAGTGCTGAGGAATCCTGAGAAAAAGAAAAAACTGGAAGTCTTGGTTTTCAAAAGTACAACAAACAATTTATTCAATCACGAAAACATAAAAATGTGCCAAAAAGGCGGAACAGCAAAGAACAAATAATATGAAACGAGCGAATGACAAAAACAAGATGATGGTTCTTGGTATACTTACATTATGTTATGGGCAGCAGCACCAAAGTCGAGGCGATGTGATACCCCCAAAGTGGCATACTGCCACTTTGGAAGTCAGCAATCGATGAGTGAGTGTTATGTACTCATTTTAATATAATAATTGGAAGTGATGAATCGAATAACGATTGAACCAATAATGACCATGTCTTATCGATTCGTGTTCTATTTTCTATTTATATCCGGAATCGATGCTAGATTCGCAATTTTCCGCAATGGGAATGGTCGTTGCCTTTCGATACTGCTTACCTAGGTATTATTGCACGGTAAGCGGTATTTTTGCTAATTATAAAGGAACTGACGTCTACTTCTTGACAACATACAGGGTGAGTCACTTTTTTGTAGTAGGACTTCAACAAGTTGAGGAAGATACTATTTTAACTAGTCAATTATTGAGAAATGTCGAATAGTGAGTTCTAAAAATGATGTTTCATCACAAATGAGTTATTTCAGGCATTTATCTGGACATCCATACAGTTTTCGAGAAACATCAAGAGAGCAAGAAGTATCCATATAAAACAGAAAGTGATCAAAATTGATGTTCCGTTGGAAGAAGAGGCAGCACGCAGTAAACTTCGAGAAGGTTCAATTGGGTACAACAACAACATCCGAAAGTGTATATCACCCTGTAGGCAATCGACATCAGCTAATAGCCCTGAGAATTGAGTTTTCCAGGTGTAACAGGTATACGAAATTACAATTCATTATTTGCGATATTGTAGGAGAAAACTAGAAAAACATTGAAACAATCTCAAACTTTGAGTTTCTGTATATCGGAAACGATAATCTCCCACGCAAATACAGGAAGATAAAGGTTTTGAGGTGCAAACTGAAATGGGTGATGAATTTCATCATTTCAATTAAAGAAGTTCGTATTAACATGAGTCTGATCTCGATCAGTAGCAGATCTGAAGGGGGTCGAAGTTCAATTACTTTTTTCTATTAATTAAAATATCTCGCTCACTCTTGAATAAGATATCAATTCGAAATTCGGCGTGGTTGATACTTTCTAGGAATCCACAATTTTGCGCATTCGAGAAGAATTGTTTAAATTCACAGGGTGATATGTTTTCGGAAGTTTAGGGTCATTTATCCCCCCAAACTTTTCCGTAGTACTCTTCTGGCATTTTTCAGTTCCCATATAGGGTGGATCGTTCAATTTAGATTGCTTTCAATTTTTTTCTGGAAATCGAACAGTTTTCGAGATGAATAAGCTTATGCGTTCTGAAACATGTTAATTTTATTTTTCATTTTCTTCATATGATATTCAAAAAGATATTGTATGGGGCTAAATCAGTGGCTCAACACGAATTTTCCGCGTTGTCGTCGAATAAAAGCAACCTGACCTTCTACCCTCTGGTTCCCCGCTACTGACTCAGATTGACATTTGGTACATTTTATTTAATAGGCGATTCATATGAGATATTATAGATAGAGATATTCATATCTCCATATTTTTTGTCCTCTAACAAGAGTATAATAATTTCATTTCAATATAAAGCCTTGCCTTGAGCCATGACGCTATCCAATTCTCTGTGAATTTACCTAAAACGCCCAACCTATAGGAGACAGTGACAACGACCAAGCCTTCTTCCAGTAAGTAATCTGACTGGAATATCGTAGCATCTCCCTCCATAAACGCCCCCCCATATATCCAAAAAATCACGGGACTTGTATTCCCACTGGAGACATTCTGAAACAAGAAAATTAGGTTTCCCTCTGGAATGTGTTACAAAAATGATTGTATCCCATAAGCACATGAGTTTAGAAGTCGACATAAAATGAACTGTATGACTGAACTTAGAAAAGAAGGAAAGGTTATCAATTTGTCATTTATAAAAAAGTGGAACTCGAATAACCCCACTAAGACGGTTCAAAATATCCAATAATTATGTTATGACACGTGATGGAGAATTTTATGATTTTATTAATCTCAAAACTATTTTCAATATTCTGCAGGAGATACAAAGCACTTGTCTTTAGTAGTTTTCGAGATGCAGAGTATAAAACTTTCAATTTCATCAATTTCTGAAAAACGCTTCTTTCTATTATCTTGAAATTTGATAGGTTTGTCTTCAATAACAAACTACCAAATTCGAAGAAAATCTAAAATAGGGTTATTTCAGATATTTCTGTGAACCCTTTTTTTTAATTTCGACACTTTTTCCCGAAAATTACAGTTCGTTGGGAGTAAACTTGAACAAACCAACAACAACACCAATGAATTACCCTGTATATTCAACACTTTTGGAAATTCTGGAAAACCGCTGAATCTTGACAACAATTCAACAATAGGCGAAGGTTCTTGAAAAGTAAGGTGTGTTCACCATTTTGTACGATCGAAAATGTGAGTAAGAGGATATTCAGGAGCGTACTCTGATTATATTTATGCGGGTATCGAAAAAACTTAAATATTCTAAGTATACCTATGTTGAAATTCCTCAACATGGGAATTCAAATCCTCCTTTTTTGCCACGTTCTTATTATACAGTATGATGCAAATGTATGGAATAAATTCATTATTTCAGAAATGGGCGACATTTGGAAAAATTCCAAGAACACGTGAGTTTTAATCTTTGGAGCCTCATCTCATGACATTCATATGAGAGATGTAACGTTACTGGTGTTGGAGTAATGACGTAATCGACGATTTTTTCAAATACAAACAGGGGTCATGTGACACCTCGTTTGGAAGGTCTACTGATCGTCTATCCAACAGTCAGAATTTTGCATAAGAAGATTGAAATTAAAATGGTTAACTGAATCTTGCAGAGGTCTCCTACTGAGAATTGAACATCGAAGGGTCGTCTCGTTGAAAGAATACACAATAAAAAAAGTTCTGAATTCTAGTTTTTGTTTTTCGGGAGTCGTCTTGTTTTGAAATTAATTTATTCCATACATTTGCATCATACTGTATGTCGCTTCCTTGTATGTCTGTCTGCCTCACTGTGTCTGTCATTTCTCGTTCGATTCGAATAACTATTCATAAATTTATTTTAGGGATTTTCGGAGTTTGAGATTGGAAATTTCCAGTCAAAGTTTTGATATTCAATATGACGCCTCTAAGATGGCGGAGAGTTTATCTTTTTTTTTCTGAATTGACTGAAAATCCATATCAGGGATTGTTCATATGATTGAGAAATCAGAATTCTCAGTCGAAAAAATAAAAGAATCCTCAAACTTCAACGCTCTGTTGATTGATAACGAAACATTTGATAATACATCTGTAAACGATGTCTCATTGGAAAACACCCTGTATATTGTGTATCTCAGTACACCCTCACAATGAAATTCAATTCTTGCTATGTGGTAATATGTTCTTATTGCTTGTTGAGATAAACAAATGAGAGATATATGGTGCTTGGCGATGAAGAGATATAGCGTTTTCAATAGTGTCGCCTTTAATTATTCAAGAGTATTTCGATTGAAATCGAGTAATGAATTATTGTATTGAATTCTATTTATACAGGGTGTCCCGTGAAGACCACGTCAAACCTAGCGAGAATGTAGATCAAAGGATAACCCACCTGCATATGACAAAATTCCTATTATAAAAGTCTTACCGTTTTCAAGTTTTTTTGTTGTTGAAAATATCCATGCTACCAAGGTTTTCAATAAAAATATTCCTCACAGCCCCTTTAAAATGTTCGGAGAATGTTCTTAATGTATACGTTGAAATCATTCTTCAGCTGAAAAAATGAATCGAAAAGATGTAAAATTGTACCAACCGTACAGACATAACTATTGAAAGGGGCAAAAATTCAATATTAAAAAAAAATATCTCGAAAACGGTAAGACTTTTATGATGGGAATTTTGTCATAACAGGTGGGTTATATCCTTTGATCTACATTCTCCCTAGGTTTGACGTGGTCTTTACATTGAATATGTAGAGTTCGAATATAAAATATGTATGTGACATACATTCGGGTGGTTTCATGATGCTACCAGTAAGAAAAATACTCCCAATTGAACAGTCCCAATAATACGAAATTCATTATTCCAAAACTACGATTGTTATTTTCATTATTCATTTGTCTACCGCTTACCGTTTTAGGGGTGAAAACATTCAAATAAAGGCAATCTTCGGATCCAGGTGTTCTCACAAGTGGTTCTAACACTCTCAGTTGTAGTTCTACACATCCAGGTTGTTTTATAGTGGCATCTAGTACGCCTTTCCAGCGACCTATAGGTTGAGGGCTCTAAAAATGTGAATATATTGATAGTCCGTATTAATTGTATTTATTTAAAAATAATTGAAAACTTTTCAAGCTAGCCATGACATCTAAATAAGTTCTAAGGAACAGTTATTTTTAAACGTTGACTACCTACCACACATATTATATTATGTGACAGAAGACAGAAGAGTTTTCACGTACTGAAAAACTATCAGTGAATTAATTTTGAATTTTTTCATTCATTCTAAGACGATGAGAAAAATGAATTAGTATATGTCCATTTCAAAACACACAATTCCTGCGCCATTTGAAATTTCATCAATTCATTGGTGTGACTGGTGCGACGTCTTAGTCCCAACACGTCAATTGTCCTTGAACTGACCAATTACACTACAACACTGCAGAATGACGAGGTATCAGAGAGAGATAGCTACAGTTCGGGACTAATACGTCACGACTCCACCATCATATTTAGCTGTTTGAAATATCGAATGAAATATGCTGATTTCAAAACGATATAGATTCGATTCCCTTCAATTTCAACTCATAATATTGATTGTACATAAAATGTAAATCATGATTCGTCGATTGAAAGAGGTTTGCACGGATTTCTTCCTTCAGTGGTCTTCCCCTGTGAACAGGGGCAGCGAGTACATAGGGGCATCGGGGGCACCCACAGACTGATACAGAAATATATAAGAAAATCAAGATAGAATCGGTCGATTTCATCACTAGAGTATCTAATATAAGTATTTCTAATCATAAAGTAGGCGAGGAAAAGGTATAAGGATACCTTCGTACAATTCTAAGAGAAAGAAATATACTATATTTTATTCACATTGAATTCAATTATAGACTAGATATTTCACTCGTTAAGAATCGTTATGAATTTTAGACAAATCAAAATTGGTCAAAGTTGCGCTCTAACGGTGAGTGCTGAGGTTGGAATTATTTTTTCATTGTTTCCTTGTCTACACAAGCTTTCATATTGTCACAATTCAATATAATTGATAATTCCCAAAATTTAAAGAGAGTGATAGTAATTATTGAGTTCATTGAGTGACCTCAATCAGCGTCTTTTTCTTCGTTTCCTCAAACACTAAGATAAAAATTTAATACATGGAACAAGAAAGTTCTATTTTCAGTTGTTGAATTCAATGGAGATATGAAACTTGGAAAAAACAGTTGAGTAGAGTTTTTGAGCAAATTTTTTTTTGTGTTTTGCAGCTGCATACCTCTAGGTTAGTGTCGCAGATTATTTTTTGATTGAAGTAGATGTCAATAAGCGTGACTTAAAAAAGATCATCCAGCAGTAAAAAAATTGGACAATGAAGGAAGTTGAGAGACAGTGGCGCGCACATGTTCTGAAAAGAAAACAAAATAAATGATGATCAGGCAGTGACGGACGAATCACCATTTATCATCCTCTGAACGCTAGTGCCACAGTCTCATCTTTCATGCTCGGTTAGATTGGTACACCAAATTTTATGATATTTATGGTACATTTTCGCGTCCTAATCTCATAATCGATTTTTTCCACCACTAGCTATTAAACCTACCATTATTTACTCCTATATTCGAGGCCTGAAGTGTGTTTTAATTACCAAGGAAGTTTTCGTAATTTTATTAACCACAAGTCGATAAAGACATAGCCACCTCTATTATAATTAACCCGAATCCACCGTTCTGATGCGAGATTCGCATTAATGGCACTCGAATCTAGTAGGTATTTATCAATAACGACTTTTCATATGTTGTCATGGTCATGGCTACTAGATTTTAATTAGAATTGAAAAGAAGTGCTTCCATAGTGACAATATAGTTCCATATTCCAGTATCACAGAACTGAAATGATTAGAAGGTATTGCTAGTGATGACAAAAATTAATACACACCTTGGTAGTAAAGAATAACATTACCACGGGACCCAATACCCGCCTATACCCCTCTGCTGAAGCGTCGGGATATAATCTTGGTCTCTGGGTAATACTGATATTCTTTACTACCTTGGTGTATAAATAACTATTCTTGGACCGTCATATTTTTCCCCTGTACCCGTCAAATGAGGAATAAGTTAATCACTGCATATACAAAACTGAGATTTCCATCTAGCAATGAAAGTATTGTGTATATTCTTCGTGAACTAATTAAAATAAGACAAATTGAATGAAAATCACCATGGAAATATGTAACTTCTGGAGAAAGTCGCGGATATGTAATGATGTTCCCAATCTACTCTCTACTACAAATCCTCACTTTTTTCATCGTTTGGAGCGCACGAAAGGGAATCCCTATAATGTTCGAAGAACATCGTGCGTACCTAGGGCTAGAAAGAGGAGGTAGGTATTTGATTTTTCTTTGAACTTTTGGAGATTATACGTTCTTGGAAATAGACTTCCTTATTGGCAAAGACTATCCCAGAGCTTTATGGCTTTACCGTTCTATAGACAAACGAAAGTGTTGTTCGACATATTTCGAGGTCGACAACGAAATGATGTGCTGATTGGGCTTGTCGAGTTCGTCTGACTGGTACCGCTATAGTGATGGAATGGAAGCAGATAATATACTTGATTGAGGTAAGAGAAATATGTGAAAGTGGTAAGACTGATGACTGCAAAATAAAATTTTCCGTCGACTTCGTAATAACGAGTTTAACTAATGTACACGAAATCGATTATTAATTACCTCTTTTGACGATCAAGCTGATGTCTATTAATAAACGATTATGGATTAAACAACCAAACACACACGGTGTCGTTTCACTGTTTTGATTATATCTTTCGGAATCTGCATGTGAAATGAAATAAAAGATTTTTTATATTTTGAGTATTTGATGAAGTCATTATGACACCCAAATGGGTTTCGAAACAGCTTCTATTAGGAAACGCTGAATATCTTGTTTCAAAGTTGATAATGGTAACGTCAACGTCAAACTGTCAGACATACTAGCGTCAGAACGCAATAAATAACTTTAACACTGCAGGTATCTTGAGCATTTATATTTGCTGGTGAGTTTAGATGGGCTGCTGATTATTACCTACCTCAATTTTCCTCTTCACAGGAGCTTATGATATGTAACCTTCAGCAACTGCTGAGGATTACACCGCCTCTATTTGCTAAATGAGACACACTAGAACGCCGAGATCAATGTCCTGTGAAAATCTCAGGATTTGGTCATTTAGGATATTCTGCAATGATTCTTGGCATTTTTCCAATTGTGTTGATCCTATTTATGCAGTAACCATTGCGGTATATAGGTCAACAAGAAGCATTTACATCTACATATTGTGGTGGTATATATAGGTCACCAGTTTGACACCATACTTGGACATTGTAGAATTCTTTTTCATGAGCTGGACGAGGTTTCTTGGGCAACAAATCATTTATAGCCATGAGCATTGAGCAAATTCCCTCAGTTCAGGAGGGATGCAACTTGAGTTTGCCTCTTCAGTCATTCTCAAAATAGGAAAATTCAAAATTTTGATATAGCCTGTTTTTAACACAAGAAAAATTGGATATTCATAATTTCGATAAATGTCTAATATCAATGACGAGTTGACTTTCATGGATACTGGGTGATGTTTAGTAATTTTCGGATAAATCACTAATTAGCGAACCAAATTTTCTTCATTGCAGGAGAACAACTCACGCCTACGGAAAAAAATTGTAATCATCAACTACAACTATTAACGATCTAGAACATTGATCGCTTCATCAATTAAAAAACAATAGGGCTTAACATTTTTTCGCTACACCAGTAAAAATGCCACTTCGGAATTTTTTCTGTTATGTATAGGTAAACTGTTATTATTGTTAATGTGTGTTGTATGGAAAATGTTGGTTACATATCTTTTAATTAACCATTTGTGGAGTGTAGACAAGTACACTTTAATGGTATCCAATAATTCACCACCTAATTGCGATATTGGTTTGTGTATACTTCCATCAGTGTTTGTTACATTATTTATCACGAAATTGTTCGATAATGTTCATAATTGCATGGTGATTGATAATATTGTTCAACAATAAATCTAGTCTAATAGGCATGTATTTTCATGATCTTGACTCATTTTGATGAAGTTGTGCTATTTTATCACCTAAACAATCGTTGGTTTCTTATTTCTATACAGGTTGTTGATTCATTGAGTATCGAAATACAAGGTGTGCATCCTCGAGTGATTTCAAGCAGAAAAGTTTATTTCAAATTATGTCCTGAACTTCTCAATTTTTGAACTAACAGGGTCTCAAAATCAGAATCTTATTTTAAATCACAACATTCAGTATCACAGCTATACGTGAATTTCACTGGTGAAGTTAAAAGTATAATAATTTTCGTCCCACAACAAAATGTGTTTCTACTCATAGTGGATGATGCCTACTGAATTTACCAAAATACAAAAAAAAATCTCGATGAACTGAGGAAAACAAATGTTTGGTTTATATTTACGCGAGAACGGTTTTTCGTATGAAAGAATGTATGGTAACCAAATTTGCTTGAAAATAAAAGGAGAATTCAAAATTGATTTTGGTTTTTGGAAAAATCGGTCGCGTACAATTTTTAAAATTGTCAGTTCAAACCCCGTACTGGTGAAAATTTCGAAAAAAATCATTCACGTCAAAAAATGCTTATGTTGCAGTCTTATTTTGACAAGTATCCATATAAACGTGACAGTTTTCTACATTGTGAAAGTTTCTCTAATCAATGATAAAGAGAAAATAAAAGTTCAACACCCTATAGCTCGAAAGTTACGAGGTTTAGGTCATATGTGCATATGAATTTTTCTTATTAAAATGAGCTTAGGAACCATATCCTTAATTTAACCATCAATTGAATTACAGCCCTTCTTGTAAGTTTTATTTTCAGTACTTTCATCACGATATAATGACTGTTGTCTACAAAAATTCTACATGGATCGAATGTTAAAAGTACGAAGAAATACTATTAGCTATAGAGTAAGAGATTTCTACTATCCTTGAAACTGACTTTGAGCACCCATGTACATACCTTTACCAAAAATACATTTC